ATTGTATGTCAACTGTCCTTCAATAATAAAATAAGAAGAGAAAAAAGAAAAAGATTCCCAATGAAAAATGGGTGGGGGTTTTTCTGTTATGCTCAGTGATCTATCCCATGCACAAAATGAGTGACCAGCACATGTCAGGCACCCAGTAAATATTCCCCGAAGGGATCAGCACACGATGAAGCAGTCCTCTGCTGAGAGGCATCCCAAACAACCCTGTCGAGAATAGCCCTGTCGTGAATAAACCTGTGCACACGTCCCACTGTGTGCAGGGGTCTGAAGGAAGCACTCTCAGCAGTGGAATTTCTGGACCGGAAAATTGGTCATTTTGAGCCCACTGCCTACTGCCCTCTTGCCAGCACAGTGTGAAGAGGCTTGTGCCCGACAAGCACATCAACAGAGTGGGTTCATCAAAAGATAGCAATCTGTTTTTCCCAAGCATTTGTAAAGGAATACATGGACCAATTTTGTGCCAGAACTAAGAAAAAGACCATGAAATTTATGTTCTAAATTGAAGAGCAATTCAGACCAAGCAGCTGTAGATATTCCCTATCATGCACACATCTCCCTCAGATATTAAAAAACTCAGGCCACCCTGAGAAAGAGGGACTGTACCTCTGCAGGAGTTGGCCCAGTGGTTGGCGGTGGGTAGCGGGGTGCAGGGGCTGCAGCCTCCCCCCAAGTGTGCATACCACCAGCCCTCCAGTCCCTGAACCCCCGAGACAGGAACCCCAGGAGGGCTTCAATGAATAAACCATATTAAAACTTCCTTTTTTGATAATGCAAAAATTGAGTTTCTATTATTTGCAACTGAAAGTGTCCAAACTGTTACAGACAGAAACACCAAGTCCGTGGGCCCATCCCGAGCATGTGTCAGGGGAATTAGGGGAAGTAGTGGCCAGAGCCCCTAGAGACATGCAAGAATGGGGCAGAAAGACCAGACAGTCCTAGAAGGCCGAAGACCAAGAGTTTATTACATGCCGTGGCCGCAGTTCAAGAGAAGGCAGCGTCCCATCAGCCACCCTCTAGTTAACAATAGGTGGTGGAACCATGGATGGTTTTATTTTTTAAAATCCCTTTTAGTAGGAATATGCTCCTTTTGTAATAAGATAACAATTGTTACCTAAAAACAGCCACGATGGTTCAGAGCAGAGCTACTTAAAGTGTGCTGTGTGGGTACTGGGAGCCCCCACCCTGTTTGCTACTGGTCCCTGATGAGCTAAGTACGCAAGCAAAAGTAAGCATTTAGAATACATGCAGTTTCGTAGAACGGCTTTGTCTATGGGACTAAATAAGAAATCAGGGCTTTCAAACAAAAACTTGTACACCAATGTCCATAGCAGCCCTATTTACAATCGCCAAAAGTGGAAACAGCCCAAATGTCTGTCAGTGAACGAATGGATAAACAAAAGGTGGCATGTCCACACTATGAAGACATGAAGTAGCCATAGGAATTATACAACAGGGATGGACCTCCAAAACATTAAGCCAAGGAGAAGAAGCCAGATGCAAAAGGCCACACGTGTATGATTCCATTCATACGAAATGTCCAGAATAGGTGAATCCATACAGACAGAAAGCAGTGGGAGGGGAGAAATAGAGAATGACTGCTTAATGATAGGAGGTCTCCTTCTGGGATGAGGAAAATGATTTGGCAGAGGTAGGTGGCTGCACGAACCGTTAACATTCTAGATGCTACCGAATTGTGCACTTTAAAATGGTTGAAGTGGTACATTTTATGTCACGCGTACTGTAGCACAGTCAAACAAAACTGGGGCTTGTATCTTTTGTGCCTTTGTATTCTTCCTTTCACTTTTCTGGGGGAGAGAAAAAAGCCCAAGATCGGAGCCTGCGAAGAAAGGAGGGGCACTCGGAGACCGGGTACTTACCAGAGGCTGTCAATCACGAGGCTCCACCCACCTCACTGGCGGACGTGGTTTGGGGGACGATGCTGAAGGAAGCTCTCAGAGGCAGGGAGTCCAGACAGCGGTTCAGCACATCTCTACCTACCTACCTACCTACCTACTACCTACCTATTCATCCATGCATCCACCCATCCTTCATTTAGTGTACAATATATCGGTCCTAAGAGTCTTGGTAAAACAAGTTTAAAACTACTGATAGAGGAAATAGTTCTGAAAACCTGCCCCTCCCAGCCCCCCTCTGCTCTCTGCCCATGCTTACTCAGCAGTCCCTGTGTGCCCAACCTTAGCGAGGCCAGGTCTTCATGGTGGATAAAGGTCCTCTACTTGTTAGAGCAGAACATCCCTCACTGCAAGTTAATAGGTCAGTGGCTGTAAGGGTAAATATAAATCAAAAGTAAGAAAAACAAAATTTTTTTGAAGTCTCCCTGGCGCAGAAAAGGAAAAGAGAGCTTCCTCCCTCCCTTTTCTTAGAGCATTTATTTTGGGAAACTCATTGTAAATCCTCTCTCTACCCCTTTGAGGTGTATATAAATATTTTTAAAAGCTAAAGGAGTCTCTTGCCAGTTATACAACCTAGGAATGTTTCCCTCCAGGACTGGGGGAGCCATCTCTTTGAAACGTAGTCATCAAGGAAGCCAGGACCCCTACCCCTGGATTCCATGGGAGGGTGGGAGCCTAACTTCTGCAGGTGCCTGGCTCCCAAGTTTACAAAACTACCTCTTGTCGTGAAGAGATGAGAAGTTTTCTTTTTCCTCTGGAAAAAGGCAACTCGCAAGCACGGGTGGCCACCCTAATTACCAGGTGGATTGTGGAAGAACCAGTGTGGCGCTGTCGGGCTCTCTTGCTTGAGCACAGGTACCATTTATCTTGAGAACAGGTGTATCTGTTCTGCGATGGGGTGTATCTGCCTGCCTGTCTAAAAGGGTGACGTTTCTTTCTGGTGTCTTTAGTGGCTTGCCTGTGGTGCATATAGCAGTTTGGCTTAACCCTTATTCCATAATAACACATCTTCTTTCACTCTCTGTCCTTTGTGGAGAGGCTTTCTGGCTTGGCAGGAGACTATTTTTCATTATTCGCGCTTTGTGTCCCTTTGCTGCCTCCTGTGAGTTTGATTCTGGGGCAATTGTCGAGTCCGCAGGCAGCACTGACGAGGTCTGGGGAGCTACTCCAGGAGAGGCTGGGCCATGCTCATTCACTGACATTGCCTGACCGGTCTCACCCTGTCAGCCTGCTCCATTCTTATCTGGAAGCTCAGCTCGGGGAGGGGACCACCATCACGAGCTGCATGAGCTTGGGAGGTTATTGAACCTCATCAAGCAGGGTGAGGTGAGGGAGGCACTTGCTTTGGGCACAGCATTGGGGGGGGGGCACCAAAAACTCAGTAATGAACTCAGTAATGAAGATTGTTTTGGGCTGTAGGTTTGTGTCCCCCAACATTCCTATGTTGAAGTGCTGCCCCCTAATGTGATGGTATTGGAGGGGGCACCTTTGGGAGGTAATTAGGTTTGGATGGGGTCATGAGGACGGAGCCCCTGTCATGGGATTAGCAGTCTTATATGAAGAGGAACAAAGACCAGGCCTCGCTCTCTGTCCCTCCCTCTCTCTCTGCCACGTGAGGACACATGGACAAGGCAGCTGTCTGCAAGCCAGGAAGAGGACTCTCACCAGGGAACCAAACTGGCCAGCACCTTGGTCTTGGACTTCCCAGCCTCCAGAACTGTGAGAAATAGATTCTTATTGTTGAAGCCTTTTGTTATGGCAGACCAAGCTGACCAATACAAAGATAAATAATATTTAATTGAAAACAAAGGTTTTTTAAGGTAGGCTGTACGTCCAGGATGGAGCCCAATGTGGAGCCTGAACCCAGGACTCTGAGATCAAGACCTGATCTTGGTTGGACACTCAACTGACTGAGCCATCCAGGTGCCCCAAAGACAAATAATATTTAAATGCAATATATATACATACGTACTTTATTTTATTTTATATTTTAAAAGATTTTATTTGTTGATTTGACAGAGAGACAGCGAGAGAGGAAACGCAAGCAGGGGGAGTGGGAGAGTGAGAATCAGGCTTCCTGCTGAGCAGGGAGCCCGATGCGGGGCTAGATCCCATGGACCCCGGGATCATGACCTGAGCCGAAGGCAGATGCTTAACGACTGAGCCACCCAAGTGCCCCAATACGAACATATTTTAAATCAAAAGTAATGCTAAATGTCCATGGCCAACAAAATGTCAACATTTTAGGGGCGCCTGAGTGGCTCAGTCGTCAAGACAATTAAGATAGACAAACAGGTTTTTGGGGCACCTGGGTGGCTCAGTCAGTTGGGTGTCTGCCTTCAGCTTGGGTCGTGATCGCAGGGTCCTGGGATTGAGCCCTTCATCGGGCTCCCCGCTCGGCGGAGAGCCTACTTCTCCCTCTGCTTCTGCCCCTCCCCCTGCTCGTGCTCTCTCTCTCTCTCTCTCTCTCAAATAAATGGATAAAATCTTTTTAAAAAATAGGTTTTCTACAAGCTCATGTAGGTTTCACTGCACACTCAAATTTATCGACCAGATAGCCATGTATTTGGCACAGAGCTGGGCCCAGCAGAGGACGCTGAAGAGCCCAGGACACAATTCCACTCCACCTCTGTTGGGACAGGGAGGACGCCGATATGTACTGGAATGAACCCCCATGAACCTGTTCCTCCAGCTGGATTATCTCAGTTTAGAGAACCACCAACTCTGAGAGCTCTGTTCAGTCTGCTGAAATGAAGATTTGCCAACATCCAATTTTCCCCGCTGAGGGGAGTGGGCTGGCTGCTTTCTCACACTTCCTCCAAGGAGCCTCCTTCCCCAACCCAGCACAAATGCCTCACTGAGTGTTAAGATCATGGTATGACACTCTGGAGACACGGGACAGAAATGGGAATTCACCTTGAGACTTCTCCACTAGCTTACAGGTTCCTAAGCCCTGATTTCTTGAAAGAAACAAAGTCTTTGCTTCTTACAAATAGCATCCACATCAAATGTTCAGCAGCCAAGGGGGAGGCCTTCCTGTTTTTCATTCCACCTCACTGTGCCACTGTGGCACATTGCCTAATGGGCCTGGGCATGGTTGGCTGAGCAGGAGAGGAGGTGGATCACGGTCTGTGGGGCGTTTCCTGCCTCCAGCCATCCTGTGGCGAGGGCTCCTGGGTGCCTGGCCCTGAGCCGACAAGGCTTACAAAGTGCCTGGACTTTGGGAATCGCCCTGAGAGCCTCCTCCTGCCCCCAGCATTCTGAACCACTGCCACCTGCCAAAGTCCACCCACGGCAGCCATGGAGAGGGCCCCCAGTACCCTCGTCTCCTATGTGTGAGTACGTCCTCAGGGTCTCCTCGGCTCCCTGTCGGATGACCCATCTGCTGGGGCTGTACTGATTCTCCAGCTCCTACGGAACACAGACAGAAGGCTGCATAAGATCTTTGTTCTTCACACTGTGCCCCCACCCCTCCAAATGTCTGGATGCTTCTCTCTACCTTGAGAAGCTCCCTCCCCAATATCTCAGGCTCCATAGATGCCCTCAGCTTCCTTCAAGCCCCTCCAGTCTCCAGCCTGGTCACCCACTCCCCATTCTCCCCCCACACCAATTAATCAGGTACTTCAAATACAACACCACAGGTGCTCTCAGACTCGTGGTCTAGAGCAATGGTCATGCTTTTAACTAGTGGACAGCCTTAAAGGGGAGATGAGGTGCCACAGATGTGTCCTGGTTAATGCCACTTGTGGGCACCCCTCCTACTGCTGGAGGCCCGGGAGTTGGTGGGGGGAGGGCACTGCAGAGGAAGTGACATGGAACTGATCTTCTCTGAGCGGGCATGATTCTTTTTTTTTTTTTTTAAGAATTTATTCATTTATTTTGAGAGAGAGACAGAGACAGCAAGAGAGTATACAAGCAGGGGGAGGGGCAGAGGGAGTGGGAGAGAATCCTGAGCAGATCCCCCACAGTCAGTGTAGAGCTGGACACGAGGCTCGAGCCCACAACCTTGAGATCATGACCCGAGCTGAAAACAAGAGTTGGACGCGCAACTGACTGAGCGACCCAGGCGCCCCTGAGGGGGCAGGATTCTGATTGCAGGAGTCACAGCAAAGAAACAGAGGTCAGGAGGGAGGAATCAAAGGTCAGTTTGGAAATGCTGATGGGCCAAACTGCTGAGACACAGAGGTGAGGCCAGGAAGCTGGGGCTGGGGGGCAGGGTCTCAGATGTCAGGCTAAGACGCTCAGACTTAATGCAGACAGCAACAAGGAACCAGATTTTGGAGAAAGAGCTCAAAGGCAAGGAGAAAGAGTGAAACCTAAAATGGGAAATTTGAAGACGGGTGGCTTCCTGGAAGGGTTTTGGGCTCTGGAGTCAGATGGGTTGAGTGCCATCCAAGCTCCAACACTTATAGGCTGTTTTACTCTGGGCAACTCACTTACACTCTCTGGGTCTCAGCCCTCTCTATAAGGAGCGTAATAGTAGCCTCACAAGGTTGAAGGACATAAGGCATGTAAATGAAGTAAAACTAACCATTCAAGTGTGGGTTACTGCCTCCTCCTGTTGAACGAGATTCTTGGCCAGTATTCTTTAGATCTGTACAATCTGCGCCTGTAGGGCCTTTACAGCCATCCCTGACACACACTGTGAGTTTGATCATCATCTTTACTGTTGTTATGTATGATAACAATAATGCAATAGGTTTCTGAGAGTCCTCTGGTATTGCCGGCACGTGTGTGTGTGTGTGTGACAGAGACAGAATGGGATTTCTTGGGGGCAGTATGCGTAACTTATCGGATTCTCAGATGTATCTCAGATGTATCTCAGATGTATCTGGGAATCTCAGAAAAAACAAACAAACAAACAAACAAACAAACAAAAAAACCAGGGCGCCTGAGTGGCTCAGTTGGTTAAGCGACTGCCTTCGGCTCAGGTCATGATCCCGGAATCCTGGGATCGAGTCCCGCATCAGGCTCCTGGCTCGGCGGGGAGCCTGCTTCTCCCTCTGACCTTCTCCCCTCTCATGCTGTTTCTCTCTCTCTCTCTCTCAAATAAATAAATAAAATCTTAAAAAAAAACCAAACAGAACACTGCCTGAAATGCAGGGAAACTAGTTAGGAAATTATAGTTGAGTGATAATCATATTAAGGGCTTTGCCTGTGTGGTTTCTAGCCCTCACGACCATGGTGCAGTAAAGAGCAGCCTTTCTGCATCCTCACCATCTGGCACGTCCTCCATCCGAATTGTGGAACCTCAGGTCAAGGTCGGGAACTGTGGCCCCCCTTTATGGATATTAGCACAGCTTCGGTTTTCTCTACCCTTAAAACCAGGCTCACCGAAGCCTGCCTGTGGCAGGAAGCAAACTAGATCAGGGTGCTAAAGCTTTCGGAGCAGGCACACAGGTGCTCACCGGCGCCCTGGAGAGTGGTCGGTCCGTGGGCTCCTAAGCTCCCCTCTTGGAACTGCATCTAATCTCCGCGCTGCACTGCTCGGCCCCAGCCGCCCCCTGCAGCCCGCCTACCTCCTTAGATAGCTTCTTCCAGGGAGCCTCGCCCGGGGGACTTCGTCGGGGGACCTCCATCGTCCCACAGTGTACCGCGAAAGGCACGCCCCGGCTTTTTATAGGCAGCGGCCGGGGCGGGGCCGGTCGTCCTGGTGGCGCAAGCGGGCGGGTCCCTGGGGCCGCCCACTAGGGGCGGGCTGCGGCCAAATCTCCCGCCAGTCCGCGGCCGCGCGCTGATTGGCTCCGGGGCGCCAGCGCCGGCTTCCGATTGGCCAGTGCGCTGGGTATAAATGCGGACCGCGCGGGAACCGGCGACTGGTGGCTGGGCGGTGGCACCGGAGAGTCCCTGAGGTGCAAGCTTTCTGGAGGCGCCATGAGCTGCATCAACCTGCCCAACGTGCTGCCCGGCTCCCCCAGCAAGACCCGGGGGCAGATTCAGGTGCCGGCGCGGGGACTGGCTTCCAGCACTCGGGAGTGGGAGCGGGGTCGGGGTTGTGGTTGGGGCCATGGCCGGGCGTCCGTGCGCAGCGGGCCCCGAAGTGACCTCGCCTTCTCTCCTAGGTGATTCTAGGACCCATGTTCTCAGGAAAAAGGTAAGTAAGTCATGGCCTCGCGGGGACCACCTCCTCCCCCATCCCCACCCTCCGGGGGGGCCCGTCCTCCTCCCCTGGCGCCCCTGCGGGGCCTGCCTGCCGCCCCTCTCAGAGAGCACCTCCAGGACAGCCCCCACTGCCGGACGGCGTGTTCCCGCCCGGGATGCCGCTCCTTCCTGGGATCTGGTCCTGGAGCAGGCGCTCCTTCACTGGCCGCCCAGCTCAGACCCTTCCATTAGGGTCGTTCGCCACCGCTCCTTCCTGCGGCTGGATACAGCTGCTGAGGGTTTAGCTTGTCACTAAAGCCTGTGCACCCTACAGTGTGGGCACCCCTCCTTCCGATGTGATTGTTTCCTCTGGTACTTTACACACTAAGGAGTCAGACCAGGGCACCTTTGCTCCCCTGATGTGATAGGACCATCATCTGACCTAGGCAGGGCTAGTGAGCCCCCTAAGTAACGCCCTCCACCCTGGGGGATCACTCCAGTGCAAACCTGTTGCCCTCCGTGGTGAGGCTAAGGTGGGCTCTGAGACCCAGAGGCAAAGTGCTTTTTCTCTTGCACAAAAAGATTTAGTGAAGTCAATTCAGACTATGTGAGGGCCTCTGGGATGAGACTACTTTTTTTTTTTTTTAAGATTTTATTTATTTATTTGAGAGAGAGAGAAAGCACATGAGATGGGGGGAGGGTCAGAGGGAGAAACGGACTCCCTGCCAAGCAAGGAGCCTGATGCGGGACTCGATCCAGGGACTCCAGGATCATGACCTGAGCCGAAGGCAGTCGCTCAACCAACTGAGCCACCCAGGCGCCCGGGATGAGACTACTTTGGAATGCAATCTGGGGCCTTTGCCTCTGCCCACCCCACCAGATCCCTGCGATATTTATTCCTTCATCCCATCCCTGGACCACCTGGGGGTCATTCCTTGCTGCCCTCCCCGAGGAGAACACTTGCTGGCCCAGCACACCTTTATCATTCCGTTATTCCCAGGCTCTCTAGTGACTTAAAGCTCTCGTTGGCATCCCTCTCAGGCCTAGACTGTGAACTCCCAGAGCACGGGCCCTCTGTCCTCACTGGTCTTTCTGTCCATTGGTGGGTCTCAGGCTGTAGACCCCTAGAAGGTGCTGGGGTGCCCTGCTTGTGCCGAGGGGGTCTTCCTTGCCCACTCTTTACACCGTGGGCCTCACGAAGTGCTCTGCTCTTGCAGTACTGAGCTGATGAGACGGGTGCGTCGCTTCCAGATTGCCCAGTACAAGTGCTTGGTGATCAAGTATGCCAAAGATACTCGGTACAGCAGCAGCTTCTCCACGCATGACCGGTGAGTCCCTGCTCTCTTCTGTCCTGTCACAAGACCTCTCCTGGAAACCTGGTGAAAATTCCCAAGGGCCTAGAACATACTGTAAGAGCTGTCTTTAGCAGGAATGGTTAGTGATGCCGATGCCCGGGGCACCTGGGTGGCTCAGTCGTTAAGCGTCTGCCTTCGGCTCAGGTCGTGATCCCAGGGCCCTGGGATCAAGCCCCGCGTCGGGCTCCCTGCTCCGCGGGAAGCCTGCTTCTCCCTCTCCCACTGCCCCTGCTTGTGTTCCCTCTCCGCTGTGTGTGTCTCTCTCTCAAATAAATAAAATATTAAAAAAAAAATGCTGATGCCCGACACTGAAATACTGGAACTCAGCAAACTTTCAAAGTCGCTTGGCAAGGGATCTTAGGACTTGGCCTTTCACAGAATTCTAGCTCAGTGTTCTTAACCGGGGCAATTTCACGCCCCCTCCCCCAGAGTGCATTTGGCAATGTCTGGGGACATTTTTTGTTCTCACAACTGGAGTGGGGGAGGGGCATTGGGCTGCTGCTGAACATCCCACAGTGCACAGGACAGCCCCATGACAAATATTGATTCTGCCCCAATTGTCAGCAGTGCTGTGCTTACATCCATGCGGTTGCAAACTGGTTTTGTTGAGCCTGCATGTTGCTTTTCATTTAACTTTGTAGTTGTCTTAGCCTCAGCTCACTCTTGGTCATCATGCGTCCTTCAGGCATCCCGGTTTTATGTTTATTTGCCTGCACCCTGCGGACATTTCCCTTTGCCATCTGTGGTGGGGAGGGAGGCTTAAATTTAGTTTGCCTCTTCCCTGTTCCCTGGCTACAGATTGGGGCCTGAGATTTCTGAGCCTGGGACATGATCTCTGTCCTTGGGACTTGTCCACCTGAGCCCGCAGCGGCAAAGCCATGCTGTGCATGGAGCCTCGGAACCTCAGAACGGCCCAGTGTGTGGCCTCGGGCTGGGAGCATGGGGTTTCTGAAGCCAGGCAGGTGGTGGGGTGGACAGTGCCTGGGACTCGGGGCTAAGCGTCAGGATTTGAGTGACGGGTGCTTCCGGCCGTGCTGTCTGATGCTGGTCATTTATGTGGTCCAGTTTGCTTCTCCCCAGAAACATGGTGTCTGCCTCTGCTGCTGCACTGCGTGGGGGTGCATCCAGGGAGGACGGTGAGAGCAGAGGAGGCAGCACCGTGCCGGGAGGAGAAGTCAGGAGGGCAGGGGCCCATCTGAGCTCTGCCCAGAGCGGCACAGATGCTCTCCAACTCGGGCTACGGAGCCTGGGATGGACCGCGGCTGTGACCGAGCCCTTGGCGGGAGTGACAGGACTCCAGAGACACTGCCCTTGCCCACCCTGTGGTTTTCTCTATTTAGGGAGGGAAGGGGGAATTTAAAATTCAGGCAATACCATCTCATGCTCTTCCCAGATCTTTGAGTAGAATTATAGCAAGATAATAACTGTGCAGGGGGTTGTAAAGTATTTTATTTTTCTAAATACAGCTACAGGGGGCGCCTGGGTGGCTCAGTCGTTAAGCGTCTGCCTTCGGCTCAGGTCATGATGCCAGGGTCCTGGATCGAGCCCCACGTCGGGCTCTCTGCTCAGTGGAAAGCCTGCTTCTCCATCTCGCACTCCCCCTGCTTGTGTTCTCTCTCTCTCTCTCTCTCTCTCTCTCTCTCTGACAAAGTCTTTAAAAAAAAAAAAAATACAGCTACAGGCTGTTGAGCCTTCAGAAAGTCCCAGCCCCCGGGGGCACGTGGGGGCTCAGTTGGTGAAGCATCTGCCTTCAGCTGCCTTCAGCTCAGGTCATGATCCCAGGGTCCTGGGGAGCAGGGAGTCTGCTTCTCCCTCTGCCCCTCCCCCCCAATCGTGTGCTCCCTCTTTCAAATAAATAAATAAAATCTTAAAAAAAAAAAAAAGGAAGTACCAGCCCCTCAGAAGGCTAGTTGAGGAGCGGGAAAAATGAACACAGAAAAAAAAACATATTGTAGAAAAACAGACCCTGTTTAAAAAGACAGAGGACAGGGAATAGGATCCCTCTTCAGAAATGGCCCTGGGTGTGGGGGCCATTTCTGGGTGTTGGGGTGGAAGCTTCCCACACACACCGTTGGCATTCAAACTCTCCTGGATACGTGGGGGCCCTGGGTGTTGGGGTGGAAGCTTCCCACACACACCGTTGGCATTCAAACTCTCCTGGATACGATTCTCCCCATTGGGCACACAGGGCAACAACAGTATGACCTTAGATTTGAGTCTTGGCTCTGCCAGTTAATAGCTCTGTGATCGTGGCGAAATCCTTCGATCTGCCAGAAGAGCCAAATGGATTGGTTCTTCTCTGGCCCTGTTGGCTGGAGTCCCAGGCTTATCTCTGCTGGGACACACAGGGCTGAGTCTGGTGCTCATGCTCTGCCCAGGACCACGGTGGACTTTCCGGGGCACTTTTGCTTTGCGTGGGCCCTTTTCTCCATAAAAAGAAAGAAGTAAAAAATTATATTTTATGATGGCATTGATAGAAAGACAGCTAGAATGCAGCCTGAGTTGTAGTTATGTGTGTTCTTTTTTTCATTTTAAAAAGAAATTAAAGCATTTCTCCCGCCCTGGCCCACACTGAACAGAAGTGGAGCCTTTGAGTCTCCGTTAAGCTTTGTATCACGCATTGCCAATTTCTAGTCTAGCACATCAAGGGAAATAACTTGTGTTGACTGACTGTTTTTCTGAACATGGGCCTTTATTCTCCCCAAATGCATCCCATAGGCACTAACTTCAAGCTCCAGCCCAAGAGTGCAGTGTGCTTTGAGGGTAGGGTTGTCACGGGAGCTGGCCCCTGGCCCCTGCGTCCAGGTTTCCGCTCCCTTGCCTTGTTCATGCGCTGGATTTCTCTCCCCAGGAACACCATGGAGGCACTACCAGCCTGCCTGCTCCGGGACGTGGCCCAGGAGGCCCTGGGTGTGGCTGTCATAGGCATCGACGAAGGGCAGTTTGTAAGTTGGCTTGTCCTGGCATTCTGCCTACGAACTCCCAGTCTGTGCTCCTTTCTCCTCTGCTGATTTGGAAGGTATTTTGTTCTATCTCTGATCTTTTAGTAACCGACGTTAACTTGCTCCAACTGGTGTCTGAATACCCTTTGGATTCCCTGTACTGCTTTCCATGTTTTTTTTTTAAGATTTTATTTTATTTTATTTTTTTAAAAGATTTTATTTATTTCACAGAGAGACACAGCGAGGGAGGGAACACAAGCAGAGTGAGTGGGAGAGGAAGAAGCAGGCTCCCCGCTGAGCAGGGAGCCCGAGGCGGGGCTCCATCCCAGGACCCTGGGATCATGACCTGAGCCAAAGGCAGATGCTTAACAACTGAGCCCCCCAGGCGCCTCTGCTTTTCATGTTTTAAGGGATTTATTTTACCTTCTTAAAAAATATATATATAATAAAAAAGGCAGGGGGGTCGGGGTGCCTGGGTAGCTTAATCATTTGAGCCTCTGACTCTTGATTTTGGCTCAGGCCATGATCTCAGGGTTATGAGATCGAGCCCTATGTTGGGCTGTGTTGAGTGTGGAGACTGCTTAAGATTCTCTCCCTCTCTTCCGCCCCTAAGGGGGGTAAAAAAAAAAAAATATATATATATATATATACATATATATATATTTACAGTGAACAACAACAACAAAAAAAATTAAGTTTCTTGGGGTGCCTGGCCGGCTCAGTCTAGAGCATATGATTCCTGATCTCGGGGTCATGAATTCAAGCCAGTTTCTCAATGCTGGTATGTAAGCAATGTTCTGTTTGCCTCACTGTTGCTTCTGGCTTGTTCGTTATGGATTTGTTTCTCCTCTTGCAAAGTACATCCTTTAGTAGTTCTTACAGCTCAGGATGTTTTGGTGGGAAGCCTTCTGAGTCTTGGTAGGAAAATGTCTTTATTTTGTTCTGTATGTTAAGCAGAGTGGCAGAAGGGGTAGCTTGATGATGGTTTTTCCCTGTGGCTTTGGGAAAGCAGCATCCCTTCCTGCCGCTAAGGAGAAGGCTGCCCTCAGTCTTTGGTGGCCTTCCTGAGCAGATGACTGGGTGATGGGTTTGCTCTCGGAAGAGTGTGTCCTGGGAGGTTTTGTGCTTAGTTTGGTGTCTGGTGTGCTTTTCACATTTGAGGGCTAGTGCCTTTGTGCCTGGAGGGGAGATGCCATTATCACTCCGAATCTCCCCCCTCCCCCCTCTAGCCGGTGTCCTGGGAACATCTCCCAAAGTGTGTGTGGTTTCAGAGACTATTTTTTATTTGGGATTTCGGTTAGTTCTTTTCATGTAACTCCCGCTCTAATTCACATATCCTTGTTTCTGTTTATGGATGTACTGTTTGTTTTAACTGTTGCTGTTCTTTCCCTTGTCTTTGTGGAAATCTTGTGTTATAGGCCTTTCCGGCTCAGTCTTTTCCTTTCTTCAGGAGTGCACTCTGGCTGAGTCTGTGGGTTGTCCTTTGTGGTTTTGGTTTCCCTTCTGGGCTTCGGAGTGTTTTGTTGCTGTGAGTGCATCTAATGAATGAAGTATAACTCCCTCCCCATGGGGCTTACTTCAGCTCTCGGGAGCAGTATGGGTGCCTTCACCTCTACCGGGGACCGTCATGAGGGTGATGTGAGCTGCTGTAACAAACAAGCCCAAGGTTTCAGTACCTGAAAACGCTAGAACTTTATTCTGAGCCAGTGGTGGGGAGGCCTGGCAACACAGCTTCTCAGTTGGCCCTGGGCAGGCGCATCGGGAGAACGGAATCGGGAAAACGTGGAGGGTCCCTGGTGCGGGGTGGCATATCTCTAGAAGTTGCAGGCGTCGCTTCTGCTGCCCTTCTGACCATTGGAATTTGGGCACATGGTCCCCTTTACTGTATTTTACTCTACCTCTATGCTCTGAAATTCTTTTGTGTGTGTGTTTGGTGAGTGGTTAGTCATTGCTGCAGGGAGAACCCATACTGTGAGACCCGGGGTTGTCTCACTGAGGGCGTGGAGAGGGCTTGCTTATTAGGATTGGGGCCTGTGGGGCTCATTCGGGGGAGGGTTTTAGGAGGTTGGCTTAGCTCTTGATCCAGTGCCCTCAGGAAGGGGGGTGACCCTGACCGGCATCCTAAAGCTGCTCTCTAGGGAGGGGGGACCAGGAGGCTGAAGCCGAGGTGGTAAAGCAGCAATGGTCACTCGTGTTGACCAGGACAGGGGAGCGTGTGGTCCCTTATAGTCTGTGCCCAGACAGGACTACCCGTTGCGCTCATGGAGTGGCCTTGCCTGATGCTCATGCTCTGTAAAATTAATTACGTGCCACGTGATAACACCAGGGCCCAGCTGTGAGTGCCAGGCTAGCCCCTGCAGCTGGGGCAGCTCTTGTCTTTTCACAACCCAGAAAAACAAATAAAAAACCCATTACATGTTGGTTCTACATCAGTCTAGTCTTTATAGGTGTACATTTTTATTTTTTCATGATTATTATTTTTTAAAGGTTTTATTTATTTGACAGAGAGAGAGAGAGGGAACACAAGCAGGGGGAGTGGGAGAGGGAGAAGCAGGCTTCCCGCTGAGCAGGGAGCCCGATGCGGGGCTCGATCCCAGGACCCTGGGATCACGACCTGAGCCAAAGGCAGACGCTTAATGACTGAGCCACCCAGGCGCCCCTAGGCATACATTTTTAAAGAGAGGGGGCTCCTATCATGCTGTGTGGCTGTTTACCCGTGTCAGCAAATGTTCCCGTCTGCAAGGATGTACCCCTCCTTACGAATGCTTACAAATGTATCCTATTGTATGTATGCTGGCCCCCTGGCAGGTGCCATTTAAAGGCTGTGATGGGGCGCCTGGGTGGCTCAGTCATTAAGCGTCTGCCTTCGGCTCGGGTCATGGTCCCGGGGTCCTGGGATCGAGCCCCGCATCGGGCTCCCTGCTCAGCGGGAAGCCTGCTTCTCCCTCTCCCACTCCCCCTGCTTGTGTTCCTGCTCTCGCTGTCTCTGTCCCTGTCAAATAAATAAATAAAATCTTTAAAAAAAAAAAAAAGAATTCCTAGTAAAAAGAAATAATACAGGCTGTGATGGATATCTTGGGTTGCTGCCTGATGTATTGGGATTTATCTGCTAAGTGGAATTGCCGGTCAAGGGGCCAATCCCATTCATACATTCATTTTCATTCATTCATTTATCAGTACTTTCTGGGCTTGTGCCCCATGCCAGCCGTGTCCTCGGTGTTGGGGATTCAGCCAGAGGCTCCACCCCATGAGCTCACCTTCTAGTGCAGGGAGAGAATGACGTCATAGGTCAGGTGGAGACACCTGGACGGGAAGGCACTGTCAGGGGGACAGAGCGAAGGTGGGGTAGTCCGGAAGGGGCCTGCAGGAGAGCCAGGGAGTGAGCTGCTGGCTGGCTGGGTGTGTCTTGGGTGGGAGGGAAGTGGGTCGGGCAGGCTCGGCCCCATGGATGGAGAGCGGGCAGCAGGTGCACACGGCAGCGTGACCGCTGGGCCTTTGCAGAAATCCCAGGAGAGAGGAGTGAAGGGCAGGCGGCGGAGCATGCCCATGCGTGCACACACACGCACACATGTGCACACACACATGCCCGCACACCCAGTTCCACTGCATTTCTCTTTCGTTCCTGCTGCCTGACATCGGTTTCTATGTTTATCAGCTTCTTGTATTTCTTGCCCCTTTTGTAAACTGCCTTGGAAGGGCTTCCGCTCCTTTGTCTCTTGGTCTTTCTCTCCTCCAGTGCACATGAAGTGGCCGGCACCGCTCTGTCACGTGCTGTAATGACATCTTCCCTGTTTGCTTTTGAGTTCTGTGGCATTTCATTTCGTGTTTTACCATCCACCGTCGAATGCTTTAGTTTGTCCCGTCCTTTGTGGCCTTTGCCCTTGCGAGGCTGGCGTGTCTGCCAGGAAGCGAGGCCCCCAGCCGGGGCAGAGCTGGAGGTCACCGGGCCGTGATCATGAGCCAGGCGGCTCTTGGCGGGAAGATGACGGAGGTGCAGACCCTCCACTCGGAGGCTTCCTACTCTCTGCTCTGGGTTCTTTCCCCTCCATCAAAACTCCTTTAGGAAGCGGCTCGCTGCTGGTCGCCTGGAGGTGTGGAATGGGCAGCTGGACACCAGTGAGGACCCTCTGCTGGTACTTTCCTACCTGGATCCCATGTTGTAACTATTTGCATCCACCAAGAAAACCCGAAATTTGCTAAGTGCTTGGAAGTTCTATTTTATTTTATTTTATTTTATTATTTTATTTTATTTATTTTATTTTTGTTTATTTTATTTTTTAAAGTTTTTATTTATTTAAGTAATCTCTATACCCAACGTGGGGCTCAAACTCATGACCCTGAGATCAAGAGTTGCATGCTCTCCTGCCTGAGCCAGGTGGGTGCCCTGAAGTCCTAGTTTATTTTCTTTTCTTTTTCTTTTTTTAAAGATTTTATTTATTTATTTGAGAGAGAGAGTGCACAAGAGAGACCACAGGCAGGGGGAGCCGCAGAGGGAGAAACAGGCTCTCCACTAAGCAGGGAGCCCCACGCAGGCCTCAGTCCCATAACCCCAGGATCAAGAAGGTAGCTGAAGGTAGATGCCTAACCGACTAAGCCACCCAGGCACCCCTATTTATTTTATTTTCTTTTAAAATTTATTTATTTATTTATTTGAGAGAGAGACAGTGTGTGTGGTGGGGGGGAGTAGGGGGAGGGGTCAGAGGGAGAGGGAAGCCAAGTTCCTGCTGAGCATGGAGCCCAATGTGGGGCTCCCAGGGGTTCTCGATTTCCTGACCGGGAGATCATGACCTGAGCCGAAACCAAGAGTCGGAGGCTTAACCCACTGTGCCACCCGGTGCCCCCCTGAAGTTCTGTTTTAAGTGTGACCTACATTATCTGCCTAGGGCTGCTGTAACGAGTAGCACAGACCAGGCAGCTTACACAGCAGGAATTGATTCTCTCCCAATTCTTGAGGCTGGAAGCCCGAAATCAGGGTGTGGGCAGGCTCATTTCCTTGTGAGGGCCAGGACGGGGAACATTCCAGGCCTCTCCCCTTGGCTTGTGGATGGCCGTCCTCCCTCTGTGTCTCCATCCAAATGCCCCCTTCTTGTAAGGACACCAGTCATATGATATTGGGGCTCACCCTGCTGACCTCACTTTAATGGGGTGGCATCTGGGAAGACCCTACCTCCAAATGAGGTCATGTTGTGAGGTATTGGGGGTTAGGGTTTCATCGTAAATGTGGGGGGTGGGAAGGGACACAGGTCAACCCATAACATAAAAACTAACAGCAATAAAAATAAATGTCAAAAAAAAAAATGTCAATAACGAGCTTCCCGGTGGGTGCTCTGCAGTGTGCTGGCCCTGTGTGCAGCGCTGCCCTTATCTGGGAGGCCTCAGGAACCCCTGCTGGGGAACCCTTCCCAGGGAGGTGGCATGTGACCAGGGGATGAAGTGAGCTCTTTGAATGTCGGCATCGGCGCAGTGGGCGGGAGGGGGGAAAAGACCCTCCTCGGGCCCCTAAACCTGGGTGTGGAAGGACCAGTGTCCTGACATTGTGCCTCCATGTGGTGGGTGAGGCACAGGGATGCTCATCTCTCTGCGGTTTTGCCCCTGCCCCCCACCCAGGGATTATTTGGTGACGTCTGGAGACCATTTTCTTTGTGACAACTTAGGGAGGGGGGTATTTGCTGGCCGAGAGCTCCTTGCAGGATGGGAGCTGCATTTCTGTGACCGCAATGGGTGTGCGAACATGCCAGAGTTGGGGTGGGTGGGGTGGGGGGTGCTTCTGTGCTCGGGCCTGGCCAGCCCTACAGAGGGTAGTCGGATTCGGCTGCTGCTGAACCCCACTCGAATTGCTCTTGGTTTTCCTAGCCACCTTCACGGACCTTGTCTTGCTAACTGTCCAGGTCTCCGTAACCTCACACCTCAATAAATGGGCCAAGCCAGGCTTGAACGGCTTGGGGAGAGACCCACTGCCCCAAGACAAGAACGTGCCTGTTCACACAACCCAAAGACCAATTCACATGGACAAACGCAGTCCACTGGAAGCAGTATGATTGAGCAGTGAAAACTCACAAAGGCTCTGTAGAAGTAGCATCCTCACCCTGGGCCACTTAGAATGACAGCTCATTTACCAAGTAAACGCAGGGCCTGCTGTGCCGTCCTACTCTGTAACTGGCTGGCAGAGCCCCGACCCCTCTCGAGGAATCAGAGGGCATGTCATCTGTTCACTATTTGAGTGCCTTGGATCTGTGAGCAACACCGGGGGCGTTCCTTGCCATTTCTTAGGCTCAGAAACATTAAGTCCTTGCCAAGGTCACACGGTCATGGGTCCAACCAGAGCACGGTTCAAGGCGGGCCACCCTCTGGCCCGAGCTTTTGGCCGCGGCGGTATTAGATCACCTCCGGTTGGGCTGCATCATCTGGTGAGGGGTCCGATGTGCTCGGGCCGGGGTGCACCTGTTCTGTGTGGAAAGCCAGCGATGCTTAGGGGACAGGGGCGGTTGTGGACGTGTGTGGCTGTGCAACGTGGGGTGAGCACGGGGACACTGGTGTCCTGGTCTTGGGCGCTGGCAGGGGGGCTGGGGTCACCCCGTTCTAAGCCAGCGATGCTTAGGGGACAGGGGCGGTTGTGGACGTGTGTGGCTGTGCAAGGTGAGCACGGGGACACTGGTGTCCTGGTCTTGGGCGCTGGCAGGGGGGCTGGGGTCACCCCATTCTCAGGCTCACACTGACGGGCGGCAGCGTCTCTGTGGTCCCCGGCAGCTGCTGCTCTGGGTGGAAGCTCACCGACGCTCCCCCCCGCCCCGCCCCCTTCCAGTTCCCAGACGTCGTGGAGTTCAGCGAGACCATGGCCAACGCCGGGAAGACTGTGATTGTGGCCGCGCTGGACGGGACCTTCCAGAGGAAGGTGAGGCGTCGGATACAGGCCTTGGGGAGGGGCCTGGGGGGAGGGCAGGGTCTGGGAAGAACGGCGGCAGCCCGCGAGCCTCTTCTCTCCATGCAGTGCTACCTGGATGACCCGGGCCTGACACCTGGGGGCACTTTGAGCCGGGCCATGTCCTCGCCCGGGCACTCAGATGAGCCAGACCCAGCTCCCTGGCCGGCCCGGGAGTCCATCCAGGGGGGTTCCAAGGAAAAACCACCTGGCCAGGTAGATGTGCCCACCGGCTGTCTCTCCCTGGGAGTGTAGGCATTCGGGACCATCCTGAACCTGGTGCCCCTGGCAGAGAGCGTGGTGAAGCTGACAGCGGTGTGCATGGAGTGCTTCCGGGAGGCCGCCTACACCAAGCGGCTAGGCTCCGAGAAAGAGGTAGCCCCCACCTGCCTGCTCCGGGGCGGGGGGCGGGGTGGGGCCCGGAGGCGCGGGGCCCCCTCTCAGTCCGGGCCCTTTGCGTCCGTGGCCAGGTCGAGGTCATCGGAGGAGCAGACAAATACCACTCCGTGTGCCGCCTCTGCTACTTCAAGAAGGCCTCGGGTCTGCCCGCCGCACCGGACGTCAGGGAGAACAAGGAGAACTGCCCGGTGCCGGTGCCAGGAAAGCCGGGAGAGGCGGCGGGAGCCCGGAAGCTGTTTGCTCCCCACCAGATCCTGCAGTGCAGCCCCGCCAACTGAGGCTCCCTGCCCCGCGGCCGCCCCCTGCCGGCCGCCCAAGCCCTGCCGGCCCCCGCGCAGCTTTCCGCCCCGAGGAAGTGGGGGGTGGGGCGAAGATGGGACTTTGGGCCTCCCGCGGTGCAGGTCCCGGGCTGGTGGTCTGCACATCCCGTTTCCCCCTTTCCTAGTTCCCTTCCCGGCTGCTGGTCCACTCGTGAGCTCAGGGCCTGGCTACCGCAGTGACCACCCCCCGCCTGTGGGGTGAGGGGCAGAACCACACACTGGCGACATCGGGGGCCCATGGCCTCTTCCCCCTTGTGGCTTTCGCTGTTGAGTTTCTGTTCTCACTGGGAAGTCCGTGCGCCGGTAACTCCGGCTCAGACCGAGCCTCGGCCCACGCAGAGGTTTCTGTCTCTGGTTGGGACCGACTCCCGGCCCCCAAGGGTGGCTGCACTGAATCAGCCCTCCTGCTTCCTACACTCCGGTGATCATTTTCTCCAGAACTGCAGCTTTTCTCACATGGGAGACACTTACCCTGCTGGGGCTCAGGTCCCAGGGACTTAATCTTTTAAAGTGTGTGTGTAGGGGCGGGAGTGTTGGGGGCAGAGGTGGCTAGGGTTAGGGTCTATGATTCTGTTGTAGCGTGTGAATTAGTAACTAAGATTAAAATTTACTGGTTGGTGAAAGCACATTTGTCTTTTTTTTTTTTTTGGTAAGATTTTATTTTTGAGAGAGAGCACAAGTGGGAGGAGGGGCAGAGGGAGAGGGACAAGCAGATTCCCTGGCTGAGCGGGGAGCCTGATCCCAGGGACACTGAGATATGACCTGAGCAGAAGTCCGACACTTAACTGAGCCACCCAGGTGCCCTGAAAGCACATTTGTCTTTAACAGCCTGGGATGCCCTGGGTCTCACTGTAGACAGCTCTGATGTGACACGGGTGGGGATTTCTTTCCAGATCTTCTAGCACTACTAGTCTCTTAGCCACACCACTTTCACTGAGAAGCGACCATGAAGCGCGTCCTAGGAGGAGCATTTGCTTACTCTCTGTCTGGATGGGTTTCAGGACAAAATGGGTGGATGGAGGAGCCTGGGTCCCAGGATGGAAAGACAAGGCTATGGGCAGGTCTGCCAGCTGGGGCTGTGGGGTCAGGTTTTGTTTGTGAAATAGACACTTGATAGCTCAGGAGCCCAGAAGACTAGCTCAGCTGTACCTTGTAAAATGGGCTGTCAGCGGCTTGCATGGAAGCAAGAATCCGCTGGGGAGGGCGAGCCCCCATCCCCCACACCGGTGCAGATGGGATCAGGGTTCTGGGGTGGCCTCCCTGCCCTGGCTTGCCTCTCCCCTTTGTTCTACTCCAGCTTGCTGGTGACTGGTCCTGAGTCATAGGTGGTCACAGAACCGTATTGGTTGCTACTCAGGATTTTCAAACTAACAGGCCCACTCTTGACAGTCCCTGCTCCAAAAGGGAAATGTGCTTTGGGCGCCCTGGCCCCTCCTGCCAGAGATGGGCTTACTCCCTCCGAGCGGGCCATCCTAGGATGGGCTCCAGAGGTGCTAACCCCTGTCTGCAGGCAGGAAGTGGAGGACTAGGCGTCACCAGGGGACTCCTCACTCCGCTAGGAGGGGTTGGGAAGGAAAGGGTTACCAGGGAAGGGGCATTCAGTGGGGCAGCTCCCTGGTGCCCCCACCCCAACTCTAGCAAGGGCACAGCAAGGCCCTGGCAAGGCAGTCCAGAGAAACTGTCTTGTTTACAAGCTGAGCACAGTTGCTATTTTAAGATGCTGATGGACCGCAGCGCGAGGCATGAGACCCCAGACTAGGGAGTGTGTGCGCATGCGTGCGTTAGGCATTCCAGAGACGCAGGCTGCCGGGACTATTCAAAACCAAGTTCATAAAGCAGCCCCCTCCCAGGGTGCACCCCAGAGTGGAATTTCTCTTCGACCCCTAGGCTAAGGCCCAACGAATGACAATGGAGATTATGAACGAGAAAAACATTTATTCTGTCTTGGAATCCGTCTACGAGAACCAGGGATCTGTGCATCTTACCCCCAACGCTTCATAATACATTCAGCACAGCCTGGGGGCTGTGGGAGCACCCCACACCGAACAGTGGCAGAATATTTACATAAAGCTGGGCGTTTCTGGTCAGGCAAAGCCCCTCCCTGTTGCCAAGGGGTGTGAACAAGGAGAAGGGAGTGCTACCCTGTGCCCCCTGTGGCAAGCATCCTTCCAGGGCGCCCCCTCCTCCCGCCCACCACCGCTGCCAGGGGACCAGCCCAGAGGCACAAGCGCAGGGTAGGGACCCCAGATCCAAGAGCGAGCAGACAGGACAGCAGTGAGTACTGGGCTGTCAGCTCCCAGAGCAGGTAGGGGGCTGTGGGCACGACAGCGCCAGGAGGTGGGAAACAAACCTGAGTGAGCAGGAAAGGGGGTCCCTGCGCAGCACCAGCAGCAGAGCAGGTGGAAGGCTCGCAGCCTCATCTTTGGCACAGAACCCCAAGTAACTGCGGCCACCACAGGCTGGCCCCGAGCCTGGCTCCTTTGGGCTGGGAAGAAGCTAAGGCACTTGTCACAACAGCATGTCGGGCAGGTCTAGCTATTTCAGGTGGGGGTGGGATCATTAAAAGCAATAACAAAACGCATCTGGCCAAAAACCCTTTTCTAAAAAATGCCCTTGAGGAGCGGTGGGTGAAGCCCTTGGGGCAGAGGCACTTCGGGCTGGGGCCCCCACCAGCAGCTGGGGTGGGGGAAGCAGTGGCTCTCCAGGCTGTGCCGAGGCTCTGATGGGCACGGGACGGGAGGAGGGGCCACAGCTCCAGGAGGCAAGGCTCATGGGAGGAGTCCAGGGTAGGGGGGAGGCCCCCTGAGCACCCTCTCTGCCTCCCTTACCATCCCCCACTGCGGCTCAGTACACGGGGGGCGGCTGGTAGCCCTCAGTGGTCTCGGCGTTCTGGGTGAAGGGCGGTTGTTGGTAGTTGTCCACAGATGCACCAGGGTAGGAAGCGTAGGCTGTGCTGGGGTCTGGAGTGGGGTCTACATAGTTCTGGATGAAGTCGTCCACTCCGGCCTTGTAGCGCTGGTAGGCCAAGGAGGCCAGCACACCCTGCAGGGAGCCCCAAGTTTTGGGTTCGTCAGCCTCCCACCACCCTTCTCCAAAGATACTGCAACCCTTGTACGCCCCTGCCCACCTACCCAGGAGAAGATGGAGAAGAAGCTGAAAGTGATGGCTGCCCGGGCCGAGTCGGCCCCCACTAGCACATCTTCCTCCTTGGTGGCTGCCCACTGGCTGGTAAGGAAGCAGAAACCAACGAACCACAGGAAGGTCCAGAGAGCTGGGAAGAAGGCCGGGAGGGCAAGGTCAGCTCCATGGAGGAGGCAGCGGCTGTTCGGGGACCCAGGAAGGGCTCCCTGTGGTGGTGGGGGTGCGGGGGAGGCCCTGGGCAAGGATCTCCCAGAAGCCTCCAGGAGTATAAAGGGCACTGATGCAGAAGCCAGGGTGGGGACCGGGGTGCCTGGCTCCAGAGCCCTGTGACCATCACTCAACGCCGGTGGGCTTCGGCAGACCGACAGAAATCCCTGTGCTGTGCAAACCTGTGTATCGAGTGGGGCCGCGGACCCCGGGCTGCTCCTGGCCCCTCCCAAGGTTGCTGAGGCCCTGCAATCCCAGAGCCCCAGGGCTTTGGGGAACACTGCCTGCTCCTATTCACCTCCCCAAATAGAATGGGGGCGCTGCTAGCAGGTACCTGAGAAGAGCAGGTCGCTGATAACCAGGTATTTGCGGTCAGTGACGTTGCTGATCTGAGGGAAATAGACATCAACCACGAGGAAAAAGGCTGAGGCCAGGAAGGCCAGCACCCCGATGGCGATGCCATAGCCGCACGCATCCTCATTGTGGTTGAAAATGCAGTATTTCTGTCTGGAATGGTGGGTATTGCTGTAGCCCTCGCCGAAAATGCACGAGAACACGATCAAGGCAAAGACCTGAGGGGACAGGTGGGAAAGGGCTGAGTGGTCGACAAACAACCCCCAGAGGGGCACACATGATGGGGACCCTGGGCTCTCCCACTGCTGCTGTTCCCCTTTGGGGGCTCAGGCGCCATGGCCCCTTCTGAACTTGGGGCATGAGCTGATAAGTTGCCTCCTGGTGCAGGCTCCCCACTTCTCTCTACTCCCCTCTCCCAGGCCACCAGCAGATACCAGCACAGCTGCCATCAGCAGGGGCATGGCTGGGGATTCCTGGACTGGGGGCCAGTGGGGAATGGACGGGGATCTCCTGAGAGGGGACTGCCCCACCCCAGCTGCCTGCCAGGAGGGGTCATCGTGGTTCAGAAGGAGATGGGCCACAAAGTCACAGAAACCCAGGCCTGGAGCCTCACCCCCAGATCATCTCCTGCCTGAGTCACCTCTATAGTGCCCAACCTCTGCCTGAACACCTGGGTGATGGAGAACTCCCGCGCTCCCCCGCCCTCAGGAAAGGTGTGCCAGTGTGCTCTGAGCAGAAGCCCATGCCCCCGGACTCCCACTTCTTGGTGCCCCCTCCAACTCTTTCCTGCTCCAGCCTGGCCTCCCCAGTTGGGCCAGCTGTCTTCCTACAAGGACTACTGGCCTCTTTGGTATCGTGACTCTCCCCTCTGAGGGAACCCCAGTCTGCTTCCTGCCCATAAGTGAGTCCTGTCTGCAGTGCCTGTCTGGAGCACCTCAGGCTAGTCTGACTGGCAGGCCCTGTGGACACAGTTCTGCACTCAGAACCCTGCAGGTCCTAGTTGGGGGTGCAAGGGGTTGTGCCAGCCAGAACTCTGGGAGGGGATCCAGGCCCTTGGGAACAGCCTCAAGTCACCTCGTCTCCTCCCTAAACTTCAAGGCCACCACCCCATGTCAGCAGATGCAGGGATGCAGGACAGTCTGGACACCTGGCTCTCACTGGGAGGGACCCAGGCCTCTCCCCTGCCCTGCCCGAACAAGGCCCTGTCAATAGGCTCTGGAGCTAGCAGTCACAAGCCCCACCCCCAGCTGGAGATGAAGCCGGAACTCCGGGATGCTGGGAGCAGTGTGCCAGGCCCCACTCCTGGCACAGCCATCCCAACACACGGGGCATCTGCCCCTTGGAACAGACCCCACAATCGGGCAGGGAGGGGGCATGGGTGCCAGTGGGGCACCTCAGAAGGCTCCAGTCCCAGGAAGGCATAGCGTGGGCACTTCAGTCCCAGCCCTCTGCCTGCCCATCTCTAACACCTTGTCCAACTTTGGGAGCTGGTTGTCCAAGAGGCTGTGACCCCCCCAGGGCCCCCCCACCTGGTGCTGGAGGGCTCCCCTACCTCACATCCTGGGGCACCTGATCTTGGGTGGGGAAGCAGACCCGCGGCCTGCTCCAGAGTGGAAGGGAGATGCCGTTTCAGGGGGCCATATTGCCCCGGTACCCCAGGCGGCTTGGGAAAGCCCCTTCCCGGCTAATTCCCCCAGCACGGAGTGTCAGGACGCCGGCCACCTGTCCTGGAGCTGCCCCAAGCTCCTCCTACCGCCAGCAGGGCGACAGGCCTGCTCCCCGCGGCGCCTCCGGGCCACCCCAACCCGAGGCCGGCCGGCGGGGGGCAGCGGGGACCAGGGGAAGGTGGGGGAAGCTGGGGCCCGTGGGTGGGAGCCGACCGGGCCCTGGTCAGGGAGAGCGGCGGGGCCCGGGCCCTCTCGCCGGCCCCACGCGCGCCACCCGCACCCTCCCGGCCTCGGCCGCCGCCACCTGTCGCGCTCGCAGACTCGCGGGAACCCCTCCCCCGCCCGGGCCTGGCGGCCCAATCCGGTCCCCGGGCCCGTAGTCCCCGCCGGCTCACCAGGCACACGACTCGCGTCACCACCTGAGGCTGCGTCAGGAAGCGCCGCAGGTCGAAGGAGCCGCCCGCCTTGGCCGCGCCGTAGGCCCCGCTCTCCATGTCGCCTTCGCCACCGCCGCCGCCGCCGCCGCCGTCGCGGACCGCCAAGGACTAAGCCACCGCCCGGCCCCGGCCCTGCCCCGCCCCCCGGGGCGTGGCCAAAGTGGCCCCGGGGACCGAGGGCAAAGTGCGGCCCGCCGCCAGTGGCGAGTGGAGCGGGCGGGGCCTGCGCTCCGGCAGGGAACAGCCGTCCAGCCCAGCTCGTGCCCCGGGCCGCGTCCCCCTGCTCCCAGAAAGGGGCCAGAGAGTGCTCAGGAGGAGAGGGAGGCGCGGAGGGCCCGCCCCTCTGCCCCACCCACACTTTGCCCCTGCCGTCCCGCCTTCTTCTCCGGGAAGCTCGTCCAATACCAAAGAGGCCAGTCAGTAGTCCTTGTAGGAAGACAGCCTCACCTGCCCAGGACCCAGGCTCACAAGCACCCCCTCTTCTCTCCCCATTCCATGCAGAACCCCAGGCCACAGCCTGGACGCACTCCCTGACTGGCCCGTCACTCGTTGCTTCTCTCTGGAGCCAAGCCTGGGGTGGCGTCGTGGCCCCCCCCCCCGCCCCGCCCCCGCCAAATCTTTCCCGGCTGGACCAGGTCCCGAGTATGTGTGACTTCAGACTTCCATGCCCAAGATGGTGTGCGTACAGAAACAAAGTTTCCAGGGTGACAGGCAGAGGACAGGGTTTAATCCAATTCTCCTCCCCCAACACACCCCGAAATGGTTTAGAGCTTCTGAACAGAGAAGGCTGAGTGGGAGTGGGGTGGGGGGGGTGCGTTCTCTAGGGACCACCAGCGGACAGGCAGGGAAAAACTCCAGACGCTTTTTGCTAGTTGCAGGTGAGGATTAATGAGGGGGTGCTGGCCAGGGGAGGGCTGAGTTCTCCCAGGTGAGCTGGACAGTGACAGGTGAGTAGGTGGGGCCAGAGGACTAGGCCACCAGGAGATGGGGGTGCCACTCCTGGGAAGAGGGGAACAGCTGTGGGGGCGGTGGGTTGGTGCAGATGGGCCTTTTCACAATGTACCCCACTTTCTCCCCAGACCTGCACGGATGGTGACAAGCAGCTGAGGGGTGAGGACAGGGGCCACACAGAGCCCCCCCCCTTCCTATGGACCTCCCCTTCCATCACAGCCCACCCCATCCTAAAATCCTCAGCCTAACACCATGTGCGTTCATGGAAGAGCACCGGGCTCCAAGAATCCGGGCTGGCAGGTTTTTCTTCATGCAAATGGTGGGTCCTCTCTGTAGTGGACAAAGACCAGGGCCCTCCTGAGAGGACTCTCCCAAGCCTGCCTCTTCTGGTCACAGCCTTGATGACAAAGGAGTTAAGATTCCAGGTTAGGCAAACACACATCTCAGCCACCCCCTCCCAAGGCCTCTGGGAGTTTTATGGTGCCAAGTGCATCAGCGCCCTGGGCAGCAGAAGGGGTGTAAGGCTTAGTCACCCCACTAAATGAAGGGGGAGGGAACCGAATCACCGAGAGGACAGGCACTGGCCCCTGGTCACATGGCGAGTGAGAACCTGGTCTCTATATCCCATTTTATAGAAGGGAACACAGACGCTCAGAGAGGTGACACAGGTCTCCTACGAGTCTGGCCTCTGGAAGGGACAGAGATGGGAGGGGGGACCCAGAGGTGAGACAAGAGGAGTACCAAGGACAGACAATGGCCACTGAGAAGCCTGGCCAGGGAGGGAGGAAGGCAACCAGGAGATGGCAGTATCTTAGAGGCCCAAGGAGGTAAGAAGTTCACGGGGCACAGGTGACAGCTGCGAAAGGCCAGACAGGTGGAGCACACAGAGGCCTGCGGGGCAAAGGGATGGATGACACAAGGGCCCTGGTCACTTTACAAGTCAGTGGAGTGGGGACCCTAGGAGGTCTGGCCCTGCCTCTTGTCACCAGCCAGGAAGCACCGGCCTATGTGGTTGCCATGGAGAGCAGAAGCCCCTGATCCACCCTGGTCCCCGGGGGGCATCATCCGTACTCCTGGCATCCCTCCTCCGACCCCTCAGGAAGACAGGCGAATATGCCCCATCCAGAGGCCAGGGGACTCCATCACGGGCCTGCTGGGAGTGTTGGTCAGGGTCAGATAAAGCCAGGCTGTGCAAGCCCTCAGCAGGCACTTGGCACCCAGTACGCCCTTCGTGAACTGTTGCAAGTCATGCATGATCCATGTGGCCCTTTGTCTGCCCTGGCAGCAGCCCCGTCCTACAAAACCCACCACCCGCTGCCTCCAGCCGGGCTCCTGGTGGCCCATACAGGCCACCCACCATCCTCACGGTCCCCACATCCTGCACCCATCTCCTACCTGGTCCACAAGGCCCGGCCCAGCAACCAAGAGGTGACAGCGGCAATGGAGGTGAGGCTGCCAGCCAGCGCCGCGATGGTGGCCCCCTGGGGCGGCTGTCCTGCGAGGGAGGGGGGTGGCTGAGCTGGCCCCCCTTCTCAGCGCCCTTCCCTGCTCTTGGCCAGGGAGAGGCGGAGCTCTCCCACCTCCCACTACTGCCCGTCTGGGAACCAAGGGGCCCTCTCACCGGGGGGCACCAGCTTGAAGGGGCTGGACTGGACACTGAGGTCATTTTCAGCCTGGCACTGGAGCCAGGTGGACGTGTTGGGAAGGGCGAAGGAGAAGTCGGCAGGCTGCCCATAGCTTGGTCTCTGCTGCATGTGGACGGACCCGTCCTTCCCCACCAGGCTGTAGGTGATGGGTGGGCTGCCCGAGGGCGCCCGGCAGGAAATCTCTACCCTGGGGCCGGATCCTCTGTCCAGCAAGGTGAAGGTAGCCTGCAGCTGGGACACGGGCTCTGGGAGGGTGGACGAGGTTAGCACAGGTGTGGCTCGGTGACTTTCACAACCTCTCCCAAGCAAATTCCCTTGTTACCAAATGCCTACTGAGCCTGGAGGCCTAACTGTTATGGCTCCCGCCTCCAAGCAGCCTTTCCGATTACCCCCTCCGTCTTGTGTCTGAGCTTCTATTCTACTTGCAGTGTGTACTACACAATTTCACATTTGGTATATTCTGGGTTGTCCGACTTACCAAATAAAAATACATACAGGATGCCCAGTTAAATTTGAATTTCAGGTAAATAATGACTATGTCCTGTGCAAAATTTATCTGGCAACCCTATTTATATTCTTTCAGTCTTGGCTCTTTTACTGGAATAGTTCCTTCAGAACAAGAACTGTCACAAGATTCTAGATTCTAGAATCCCCCCGGGGCCTTCAGCCTAATGCTGTAAATAGCCTTAGGGATGAGTAACAACCACCGCCCCTTGTGGCATACTGACCACCTACTAGAAGCTTCCCCTGAATACTTCCTGCCCTCCAGGGGTAGGAACTATTATTATTTTTGTTTTGCAGATGAAGCAACCAGGCCCGCAGAGGTTGAGTGACTTGCCCAAGACCCACAGCCTCTTAGTGTTGAGACTTGAACCCTGACCATAGGGCTCTAGATCCTGGGCCCTCCTTCCCTAGGCTGGCTCCTCTCAGGGGCGGAGTCAGGGGGCCAGGGGCCCACCACTGGCCTGGGCAACATCCTCCAGCTCCCCTGCCCCCAACCACAGCCCGTGTCTCCCACCAGGAAGGACACCTGAATTAAGATCAGAGAAGAAGTGGGAAGAAGAGAGGTTTTGGAGCTGGGGCGACATTCTTAATCACCAAGGCTTTATATGGGCCAGGAACCACAAACCCCACCCTCCAGGTGCAGTGAAGATTCAACTAGATAAAGCCCAAAAAGTACCTACTTTATCAGAATGAGGCCAGAGCTCAACTGATGGGGACCAGGCCCCGGTCACTTCCGCCCACCCCAAAGGTCCCTGCCAGGAGATGGTGCCCTGGGGCCCAGCCAGGAGCTACACTGTTCTGGGCGCAGGCCTAAGGGACCCAGAGTGGCTTTGGAGGTGAGCAACCTGTCCTGTCCCCAGCCTCCTGCCTTCTCGCCCAGTCCCTGCCCCTCCTCCAGCCCCCAGCATGCACTCACTGGTCCACAGCTCCCAGTACATCTGCAGCTTGGTGCTGGCTGAGTGCTCGCCCCAGGGGGAGGCCGCCTTGCAGGAGTAAGTGAGCAGGTCTGGCCTGGACTTGAGCGTGATGTTGATGCTGAAGGAGGCCGGGTCTCCGGTCTTCACCACCTTCTTGGCGACCTCGGTGCCCTGACTCCCCCAGAGGGAGTAGGTGATGGGCGGGGGTGCCTGGGGTGAGTGGCACGTTATGGCCACCCTGCGGCCTCTGGGGAAAACCTCCAGGACTTTGTAGGTAATGAAGGTCTCAGGGGTGACTTCTGGCAGGTGAAAGGGTCCAAGGGGGAAGAAGGAAACCAATATTGATCAAGCACCTTAAGAAAATGCCGGTTTTGCGGTTCCTCAAAAAGTTAAAAAATTATCATATGACCTAGCAAATCCCACTTCTAGATATCTACCAAAAGAATTGAAAACAGGGACTCTAACGGCTATGTGTGCACCCAGGCTCACAGCAGAACTATTCACGCTAGCCAGAAGGTGGAAGTAGCCCACACGGCCATCCGTGGATGAATGGATAAGTCAAACCTGGCCTGGCCACATGATGGAATAGTCCTCACCCATAAAAAGGAATGAAGTTCTGATCCATGCTATAGCACGGACGAACCTTAGAAACATCACGTCGAGTGAGGTAAGTCAGACACAGAAGGTGAACTATCTTCGATTCCATTCACATGAAATGTCCCGAATAGGAAAATCCCGAAACAGAAAGCAGATTGCCAGTTGGCAGGGGCTGGGGGAGGGGCAGATGGGGAGTGAATGCTTGTGGGTTGGGGCTTTCCTTTCGGGGTGATGGAAATGTTTTGGAACTAAATAGGGTGATGGTTGCACAACACTGTGAAGGCACTAAACGCTACTGAATCGTCACTTTAAAATGGTTAATTTTGTGTTATATGAATTTCACCCCAATTTTGAAAAGGAAGGAAGGAAAGAAGGAAGGAGGGAAGGAAGGAAGGAAGGAAGGAAGGAAGGAAGGCAGGCAGGCCTCCTGGATAAAAGTCTATCTCTGGGGTTTAGATTCTTTTTGCCCAGAATATTTTCCTACAAAAATAAAATGAAATTTTATTTCATTTCATTCCTACATGAGTAGGAAGCACGGAGAAGTTTGGGACACAGGTCAGGAGAGCCAACACTGAATTCAACTTCTAGATTCAATGAGCTGGTTGACTGTAAGTGGCAGGGGACAGGTGCTAGAGTCCTTCTTGCACATCACCGTAGCCCTGGCCCAAGGCAGGAGACCAGAAATCTACTGTTTGTTGGCTGAACGACTCCCTCCCGTGAGAAGGCAGTTACTTGGTTGCACGCTGAACTAGTATCAGAGGGCTCCTGCTCAGTGCCAGCCCCAGCAGGGGACCTGGGATGCAGGGGAGCTGGCCGGGCCCCAGAGAGGTCAACATCTGGTTTAAAGGGACAGTCAGAAGGAGAGGGTAGAGGGTAGGACCCAGATCAACAGAGTTGAGCTGAGCCAGAGAGAAAGAGGCCACTTGGGAAAGGAGAATTTCCAGAGAGCAGGGAGGCCCTCAAAGGAGACTGGATGCTTCCAGCACCTGGGGGATGCAGGACCAGATGCTGGAGCACCTGGGGGATGCAGGGCCAGACCCACTCTCCAGCGGCACCCTGCATTCTTCCATCAACAGTGCCTCTCTGCTTGGAAGTAACTAACTGCTCTGTTTTGCAGGCGGATCCTGGAGTTGATTTGATGCAGAAGACATTTCTCAGAGCTTCCCACTGGCCTTCTTGCGGCCCATGCTGAATTCTTCCAGACAGAGGTTGGGTGGAAACAAAGCTGCCCCTCAATGGGGGTTTGGGAGGGAGGCTGCATTGTAGGCAACATTCTGTGCCTGTTCAAGGGGAGTGTGTAGGGGCAAGCGCTTGGGGGGCAAAGAGGAAAGCGTTGATGAAATCAAAATATCATGTGCCTCATGCATTATCCTTGCCCTGCTGGGTGGGCACACTGGCTCTGGAAACCACACTGCCATCAGAAAACTGCTCACGGAGCAAAGAACTGGAACCAACTAGAATGTGCTTCCTTCAGAGACATTTCCTAGGAATCCTAAAGGTTCTGACCACTAAGCATATTTCTTTCTAGACCAGTGGTTCTTGGCCAGGGGTGGTTTTGGTTTTGCTTCCAAGGGACCTTTGTGTCTGGAAGCATTTTTGGTTGCCATGAATGGGGGGTGCTCCTGGGATCTAGTAGGTAGAGGCCAGGGATGTCACTAAAACATCCAGTAACGCACAGGACAGCCCCATAACGGAATCGTCCAGTTCCGATGTCAAAAGTGTTGAGGTTGAGAAACCGTGGTCTTGACAACCATCAGCAGCCTTTCAGAATCAGATTTCTAGCCCTGCCCAGGGCTGCACACACACTAACAAATGTTTTCTCATCTGTTCCTGTTTCTCAACGGCATGAGAACCCCCATAGTTTAGTACTTTTTTTTTTTTTTTCCCCAAATAGGCTTTCACACAAAGTCTTGGATTTGAAGTAAGTAAAGCCCTACGGAGCGTCCAGTGTGGTCTCTGGGGCGCCATTCTGCACACTGCCACCAGTAATCTTGTGGATGCAACCTGGGGCCAAAGGGCCAGTTCCTCACTGCCCAGATGCTCTTGGGGCCCGAATCTCCCTCCACAGGGGAAATGGGGCTCAGGGGGTTCAATGTGATGACACTTTTCTTCACTCCCTTCACGGAGGGAAATGACTAATAAAAGTTAAAAGAAAAAGCTGGGCTGTTTTGGTTTCCATTTCGAGGGCCAATAATAAAAGCTTGATTTACATAAACTCACAGACCAGAGTCACTTCTGACTACACTAGGCCATAGGGCATTCACTTTATATTCTAACAAGACTGGTGTGGTCTTTGTTGATCGTTTAGTTTGTGCATTTAACCCAGCAATAATGAGAGGGCTGGCATTCAATTAAAAATTCATTAAGTGCATCAGAGCATTGGAGGTTGGGACGGCACACTCAATGTGATGAAGAGACAGGCCCACGCTCAGACCGGAAGCTGAGCCAAGGTGGGCTGGGCTGAATGGGTGGCTGTGCAGAGCCTCCTTCTGTCGCTAAGGAGAGAAGGAAGTCCCTTGGGGTGAATGTGGGGACCTCGGAGCTGCTGCCCCCACGGCTCAGAGGCCCTTCAGGATCGCCCCCGCCTGTCTCCAGGCTTGTGTCTGTGATAACCAGAGGCTTAGAGATCTGAGTCCCAACCCTAGAGATCCGATGTATTAGACCTAAGGGGGTGGGGAGGCTTGTTCCGGGATCTGATTTTGAACAAGCAGCCCACGTGTTGAGGGTTGAATTATGTCTTCCAAAAAAGATATGGTCAAGCCCTATCGCCCAGGTCCTGTGAATGGTGCCTTATTTGGAAATAGGGTCTTTACAGATGCACTCCGGGGATCCATGGTGGATTAGGGTGGCCCTACTAAGAGAGACAGAGACGCACACGCACGCAGGGAGAGGCCACGTGAAGAGGCAGGCAGAGGTTGGAGGGATGCTGTCACCAACCATGAATGCCAAGGACTGCCAGGAGCCACCGGAAGCCAGGAGAGAGGAGGCCTGGGTCAGCATCTCCCTGCTGACACCCCCATCTCGGACCTCTAGCCTCCAGAACTAGGAGAGAATGACTTGTTGTTATTTTAAACCCCCCAGTGTGTGGTAATTCCTTACGGCAGTCCCAGGAAGTTATGACAGCACCCCCTCCAAGGGGTTCTTCTGAACATCGATGAGAAACTCCACACAGGTTTTAGGAATACATGGAGGACAATCCATCAAGTTTCCTTTGCTCGCTCTCAGGAGGACGATCTAGTTTGAAACCGTGCTTCATCCAGATATCCCCCCTCTGAGCAGGAACACTGTTGTGCGTTCACGGCAGCCCCACAGGATGCCCCAGGCCCCCAGGTCATCCTCCCCGCCCTGCCCCACCTCTTAGGAGGCTTTGCGCATCCCCCCGTCACCCCACCACCTCCCAACCTTCCCGACCCTGGCATCCTCCCACGGAGCCCTCAGGAACGTAGGCTCAGTTGGCACTCCGACACCTCACCGACGCCTATGGGAACCAGCCTCTCCACCCAGGGCAGGGCCTACCCCGTGGTTGTCTCAGACGATGGGGTCCCCACAGCCTCCCCAGCACTGACCTGGGAGGACAGGGGTGGACATCCTCTTGGCATTTCTGGACTATTCTCCCTCCTTCCTCCCTAAACACCAGGCTTGAACCTTATGTCTTCAGACGTATTCTACCCTGCTCCCCTGGGTTAGTTACCTAGAAACACCCATCATTCCTTGAAGATTCCTGCCCCCCATTCCTATCACTCTCAATACCACACCGGCCACAATGCCTGGGGATTTCAAAATACATACAGCTCCTCTTTCCAACATCCTGGCTCTTCAGTTTCTCAACTTCCCATCTCTTGTGCCCCACTTCTTGCCCCCACGGGAGTGTTTAGCTGCGTAATATCCCATGGTAAGGCTGCACTTTATTTGGTCAATCCTTTGAGTTGCTTAGGCCAAAAACTTTGGGATCATCTTCTCCGGCTCTGTCTTTCCCTTCCCATCCTCCCAGCACGCGCTGCTGGCCTGACCTTCAGCACATATCTTGATCACTTCCCCCCGGGGGCTCTGGCTATCACCCAATGTCTCCTCTGGATCCCAGAAACAGCCTGATGGCTCCCTGGGACTCTACCCACGGTCCCCATCCCGTCTCTTAACACAGCAGCCTTGAAGGGCAAACCAGACCTTGGCTTCCATGAAAACCCCACCCTCTGTAGCGAAGTCCACCGAGCCCTCCCTACTCAACCCTCCTCCCCATTGAGCTCTCCCCTCCCCACTGCCTCCTGCAGTCGGCACTCAGGCCTCCCAGGCTCTACTGGCTCCTTTGTGTCCCTGCTTGGGTGTCCCCTTCTCCGGGACAATCTCCCAATACATGCTGACCCTTCCCCATCCCCCCGTGTTCCCTTCCACTCCTCCCTGCTTGCTTCTCTCTGGGACTTACTGGGTTCCAGCACACTGTGGAAGGTGCTTATTGTCCCTATCATCTGTCATCTGTCCCCCCACCCCCGCGGCCCCGCTGGAATGTAAGCTGTGGGAAGGTGGGGATCTTTGTTTTTTTCTGCACCCTGTGGTTCCATCTTGGGGCCTAGAACAGTGCCTGGCACCAAACAGGTGTTCCTACAGTCTCTGTTGAATGAATGAATGATTTCCCAGCTGGCCTCTCCGGAGTTTAGTTAACAAGGCTTGGGCAAGAGTCTGAGCAGAAGTGAGGGGCGGAGGGGGCCCACCAGCCCTGGCCAGGTACTTCCCGAAACGGGGACGCAAATGTCTGCTGCCTCCAGCCGCTCTCTTTTTAGCAGAAACTCCAGGACTGACGTGTTTGTTTTTAAAGCAAATGAGGAAATGATAATTTTGCTTGTGCCGCATTCAAGCGAGACCCACCCTTCAGTGGAATAGAGACAGATGCCAGCTCTGTGACCCGGTGGCCCCGGCGAGGTGATGGTGGAGACAGGTCAGGGGGAACACCACCGCCCAGCCTGGTGGAGAGGAGGAGGTAGCCCACCACCCTGACCTTAAGGGTCACAGGGCTAGAAATGGGGGTGGGGGGAGAGCTGGAGAAGGGGGGAGGAGGCAGGCATGGAGGAGGGACCAGGAGCGGTCCCTCTCCCTGGCTCCGTACCCACCCCCTGGTGGAGAAGGGGCCCGGCGCCCTCCAGCTGCCTCTGAGAGTAAGCCAGACTCCGTTTGCCAGACCTCTGGGGAAGCCTGGACTTCCTCCGCCCCAGTGCACCCGCCCCGGGTGCCCCCAGCCCTCACTGGAATCACACCCACCCGGCAGATCTGCTCCAGATCGGGCACCTGGGGTAGAGTGACTGGCATGTACCGGCCCAGGGACACGCTCTCGGCTCCCCTTCCCTCCCCCCACCGGAGCCCAGCTGGAAGCCAGCTCTCTCCTTGCCCCAAGTCCCCTGGAGGTCCCCCACTGGCCTGCCCACCTGCTCCTCTCCATGCCCTCCAGGGCCCTGCAGGGGTTGAGGCCAAGTTCCAGAACTGTCCATCTGTCCACCACCCGACACCCGCACACCATCAGCAACCTCCGCCAGCCACGGCACCCACCACGGCACCCACCGTCTCCCTCAAGCGTGCTGGGCTACTCACCTACCTCCTGCTGCGCGGAGAAGCCGCTGGTGCCTGGAAGCCGGGGGCAGGGGGTGGGGGGAGGTGTGTGTGTGAAGGGAGTAAGCAGGAAGCCCAGGGTGGAGGGGAGGCCGGAGACCACCCAGAGAGCCTCCTGCCAAGGACAGAAGGGAGGCCTAGGACTCAACAAGCGTCTTTGCTCACAGAAGCTCTTTTGAGGCCACAACATTCAGCATCATCAGCTCTTTTGTGGATGAGTAAATAGTGGGCCCAGCACAGGAAAGCAATCACTGGCCACATGGTGCAGTAGGGGCTGGTCTCAAGCCCACATCTCTCCCTCTCTGTCCTTGTGCTTCTGGAAGAGTCTGTGTGCCTCCAGGTCCCTCTCCTATGCTCCCTGGCGTCCCTGCACCCTCAGCCTGCTTCCCCAAGGCCCTGGCGGTGGTCCCCCCTGCCCCCCAACAATGTCCCCATTAGCTCACCCAGCATGGCCAAGCAGAACAGCAGAAGGAGCCTCATGCCTTTGCTGGGGTAAAGGCCCTCTGCTAAGGCTTGCAAGAGCTCCCTCAGCAGGGCCACCTCCACTCTGGGGCCCCTGGGATGCTCCTCGGGTGTGTGCCTGCAGCAGGGAGATAACCCGGAGGCCACGGCACCCCATGGCCTCAGCAACCAGGGCTGGGCTCAGAACAGCTGGGCCCCCACACCCTCTGGGGGAATTAGGAGGTCCCTGGGCCTTAGAGCCAAACCAAGGCTTACACTCAGCCACCACTGCTGAGCTGTACTGGGTTTGTTTGGGAGGAAGATGCCCACATCCTAACCCCTGGAATATGTATGTTACCTGGCAAGGGAGTGTTAAGGTTGCTGATCTTCTGATTTTGAGATAGGATCCTTATTCTGGACTCTTGGGATGGGCCTGTTATCATGAGGGTCCTTCCTAAACCCCCCAGGGGAGTCTGACATACACTCAGGAGACCTGCTGGGCTGGATCTGTTAGAGAAGCAGGCAGGAGAGGCCACCTCTGCCCATCTCACACTGGTTCATTAGTGACCACCTACTGGGCACCTGCTGGGTGGCTGGCACTGGGCTCAGCCCCCAAATTAAAGCTCAGACCGGATGAGGCCCCTGGTCACCCCAGGAGCGTGATGCAGTGGGGGAAGCTCAGAGAGGGGAGGGGTTTTGCTTCACGCCCATGGATAGGGGTCATTCCCCAGGATCTGAAGCCAATTCCAGCTAGAGCAGAAGGAGGCCAGCCCACATCACGTATGGTGGCATGGCCTTTTCAGCAGTCTCCAGCAGAGCTCACTGGATCTGGGGAGAAGGAAGGGTGGAGGGAGCCAGGAGAGCTCTGAGAACACTAAGGCCAGCCTGGGGCAGGACCCCTCAGGGCTGGGGGCTCAGGGCAGCCTGGAGCCCAGAGAGAATGGAGGGAGCAGATGAGGTGTGGGCCAGGACCCAGCCAGCCCCACAGCCAACCCCTGGCACCTGCCTGCCCCAGGCAGCTGGGCTCCTCCCAAGCCAAGCCCAGGGCTACTGGACAGGTTCACTTATCTTGTGCAGAAAACGCCCATTTGGGCTGCCTTCCTCAGGGAAGATGGCCCACCCCCAGGGATCCATTTGCTTCCACTGGGGCCTGTTCTCTCCTGCAGAGCTCCACGGGTGGACTACACACCCACCCCCTGCACAGCCCAGGAGTGAGCACCTGACCCAAGGAAGGCACAAACAGCCTTGCCCTCGGGTACCCTTGGCCCTCCTCAGGGAAAGCCGCGGAGGCCCGAGAGGTCTGGGCATGGTGGGAAGCTGGTCTAGCAGATGACCTGCCCACCTGGGAGCGGGAGCAGGGATGATGGGGAGCGGGGAGTGTGGTAGCCGGAGCCTGGGGGCTGATGTCCCGGGGCTCACCTGGGGACTAGATTCGTCAGTTGCCTTGGTGGTCCTCCATCTGCCCAGCAGGCAAGAATCAGCATCCGTCACTTGCCACCCTGAGTCCTGACTCATGCCCTGGGTGTGCCCTATGGACCCACCTGCCTCTGTGCATGTGGGGAGCGAGCATTCTCTCTTAGTTTCGTAGGCAAATTCTCTTCCAAACAGTTTGTCCTCGCTCTGCTGAAGTGGTTGGGGGAAGGAATTGAAGGAACTGAGGATGGAAGAGGGACAGAGGGATCGTCTAGCCTGCTGCCAATCCGTCTCCACACTTGTGGTTTTTTTCCTCCATGTTGTGCTCAGGGGAAGAAGTTTGAGCTCAGGCAGCTCCTGAGAAGCCTCCTCCTTCCATCAGTGTATTTCGGGAGCAGGTCAGAGGAGAGCATGGTGGGCCGACTCAAGAGATATTTCCCCCAGGCTTTCACGGGGGATACCCTCCCAGCGACCACCTGTGTGCCATCAGACTGGAGTGTTTGCAGAGAAGGCTGGTTCTCCTCTGCATGTAGGACAGGACTCATGAGGACCCAGGTCACCTAGATTGTATGAAGTCGGGGCCATAAGAAAGCCTCAGTGCCTCATGGCACGTCTCAGGACACTTGATAAGTAATTGCTCATTTAATCCTCACAGCCCCTCAGAGGAGGGTGCTGTCAGCCCCACGTTTCAACCGAGCAAACAGGCCCAGAGTTTGATTTCCCCAAGCCTTCCCAAGCTTGTCTTCTCCCGGTGTTGCACTTGGCTGGTTCTCAGTGAATGTCTGCCAAAGGCATGCGAAGCTGACCAGAAAAGGGCCTTGGTGTCCGGTGCCGCCTTCTACTCCTCAGGCACCATCGGCAGGGCCCCTGGGGGCTCATTACAAGACGGCGCTGGGCCTTACCCTTACAGTTTCTGTGTCAGGAGCCCCGGCGGGGTGGGGGCTGCTGAGAATCTGCATTCCTGCCAAGCTGCCTGCTGATGCTACCGCTGCAGGTCGGGGCCACACGTTGGCCCTAAGCCGCTTGCTAACAGTATGTGTCACTTGCACTGGGGACAGGCCGGTGGCCCTTGGCTGACTGAGCCCACGGCACTTGTCGACAGACTGACGGGTCATGTGACACTGGGTGAGTGAGAGAGGACAGCCACAGGAGGGGCGGGACCAGCCAAGCCTTCAAGGCCCATGTGAAGGCCTGAGGGCATGAGGCCCAGCTGTGCCCAGGCTGGGAATCCTGCCAGGCGCCAGGCCCCTGGTGGAAGGAGAGGCTTTGTGAGCATGTCGTGGGGGTTCTCTTGGCCCTCCCTCCCAACAGTTATTTAGGCCAGCGTTCTCAGCCCTGGCTGCCGGGGAGAGTCACCTGGCAGCTTTAGAGAGTCCCGATGCCTGGCTGCTGGTTGCACCTGGGCCGAGCACGTCAGCAGCCTTGGCACAGGGCCAGTCCTCTAAGGCTGAGAGCCACTGCAGAGGCAGGGGCCCGAGGCCCTGGGCTGCATCCCTGCCTGGCCTTCACGGCCTGCTGGCTCCACCCCCTTCCCAGGCCGACACTTGGTGTGTATCTCAGTGCAGGTCTGTACATGCCCAGCAGCCTCCTGCGGCGCCTTCTTACCCACCACTCTTAAAGGCTGGCTGAACACGGCGGGGTGGGTGGGTGAGGGTGAACAGGGGAGGGCTGGCAACAGGCCTGCAGAAGGTGTGGCCAAGGGGCCTCTAACCCGGGGTCCTCAGGGGGCCCACTTTGTTGATGTGGGGTCCTGGGCTGGAACGGACCGTGAGGCATCCTGCCAGGGAGAGGCTGGCCCTGGACCCTCTGTTCCTCAGACTCAAGGAAGCCCTGGGGGTTCCGGGATCCCGGTCAGGAACGCGCCGGGCTGGAGCCGAGTTCAAGTGTCAGCTCTGCCGCTAGCCCGACTCAAGCATTGCTTGTGGGGCTCACTGGTCTCACAGTGGAGAAGGGCAGCAGGAGGCTGTGGGGCCCCACGTGCCCTCAGAGCACAGCAAGCCCCCAGCGCAGGTTTGCTCAACTGTGGCCAGGCCTTGCCCTTCCCACAGATGTTGCAGCGATGCTCCCCACAGTGGGAGCACTTCTGAACACCCCCCGTGGATGTGTATTTATAAATTGCATTCAGGGGTTACTCTACTCATATATTATGTACGTTATAAAACATTCAACAAAAATAGAAACTTTACAGGACTGAGGTAAAAATATAAATACAACTTCCCCTATCTTCTTCCTGCCGCCCTGGGCTCTCCGGCGTCCTGCTGGAGGGCCCACTGAGAGCGGCGGTCACCAGGGGGCAGGAGCTTGGGGCCGGGGCACTCTGGTGCGGGTGGGGGGTAGATCGGGTCCTGGGGAAGCTCCGGGAGGAGGCAGGGGTGGGTGCTACAGCTCTGAGCCGCTGGGGAAGCGGAATCTAGGGGCGGGGACCGGGGCACCGCCTGGCCTGGCGGGATCCTCGAGGCAAGGTTCCGGCCTGGGGGCCCTGGGGCCCGGGGAGCCCGGGCACGGGAATCCAGGGCAGAAGGACCGCGGGCGCGAAGCTCTGGAGTGAGGGGACTCGGGCCCCACAGAACCGCCGGAGCCCGGCTCCGGTAGCAGCCGCGACAGGTCCTCCACCAGGTGCCACTTCTCCTGGACTTGCTGTGGGGAGGGGGTGGGGAGGGAGCGACCGATTAAGAGCGGCGCCTCCTCCCAAGACCCGGCCGCAGCTCCGCGGTCCGCCATCCGGGGTCCCCTGCCAGGCCCCCTCCCGAGGCCCCGCCCCTAGTCCCGCCCAGCACAAGCCGCGCCCCCAACCGGAGGCCACGCCCCACATCGAGACCACGCCCCACCACGGTTCCGCCTCTAGTCGGCCCTCAGGTCCCGCCCCAGCTAAGCCAAAGACCACGCCCCTCCCACAAGAGTCCCGCCCCCAGAATAGGCCACGCCCCCATCAGGGTTCCGGCCCCCGCCGGGTCCGAGACCACGCCCCCACCAGGGTCCTGCCCACGCCCGCCACCTAGAGTTCGAACGTCAGCTCTGCTGCTAGTTGATGCGTGTGATGCTACCGCTGTAGCATCCTATCAACTACCAACCGTGTCCCAAGCCTAAGGCCATACTCCTGTCACGTGGCTCCCAGCCTGAGGCCACACTCCAGGGCGAGGTCCGGCCCCTCCCCAGCCCAGCGGACACTCACCCACACCAGCTGCTTCCGGAGCCCCTGGATGGCCCTCGCATTGGCTTGGGACTGGGAGACGCAAACCGTCAGGACAAGGCTTTGGACAGACAGGGATCCAAGGTCAGTCATCCCTGGATGGCAGGCGCCTCCCCCTCCTTTCTCTCTCCCCACCTCAGTTTCTTAAAAATGCCTCCCGGGGTTCTTCTCTCTGCAGACCCCTTTATCTCTCCTCTCCTTCCTCCGCGGGCAGCCCCTCTCCTCCCCACGGCAGGTTCTCAGTGTGTCTGCAGGAGGCGCTGTGTTTCCCCCTTGGTCACATATGGTACCTACTTTACAGGTGACATCCTGAGGGTGCTACCTAGGGCTACCTGTCTTTGGGCCCATGCTCCGTCCTCTGGGACCCTGCCTCCTGCCTGTCCTTGTCTGGCCCCTATGAGCTCCCATGAGACTGCCTGGGGGTGCCCATCGAAGGAAGGATCCCCTCCCAGGTGTCCCCTCCCTTGGCCCATGCTGCCCTGAGAGGCACCTGAGCAGGATGAGGAAGGGGAAGCTGAAGGCGTGGGAGCCGAGGTAGTGGAGGACGCGCTGGCCAGGGGGCGGGAGCCGGAGGGCCACCAGCTCTGGGACCACCTGCCAGGGGGCCGAGTAGTTGGTGAAGAGGCCACAGTCCCAGGAGGAGTGGATGCTGGGGAGAGACAGCCAGCGCCGGGCTGGTGTCAGGGTCCCGGGTGAGGAGCTCCCTGCCCACCAGCCGCAGGCACCTCTGCAGCCCTCACCTGCTGACCACATAGCCCAGGGGCATGACGGCCAGGAGCAGGCCCAGGATGAGCACCAGCTGGAAGAAGAAGGTGGAGCTGGAGGCGCGGAATCGCCGAGGAGAGGCCTTAGAGTTCCTCAGGAGGGTGTACTGGGGGGCAAACAGCACATGGGGGTCGTTAGCCAGTTCGCAGGTGCCAAGGAGCCTGAGGCCCAGGGAAGTGATGCTGAGGGGGCAGGCAGAAGCAGGACGTGAGACCCGCCTGGCTGACGGGGGCTCCACGCGCCCACGCAGGTGCACCGGGCCCCCTCCCAGCCCGTGGGCGCTCACTTTCTTGATGTAGAAGGTGAGGAAGATGAAGACGCTGTTGAGCAGGGGCAGCAGGGGGCAGTAGAAGAGGCCCATCCAGGTGATGGTCTGCCCCGCCACGATGTCCAGGACATTCTTGGGCACCAGGAATTCTTCCCGGTCCAGCCAGGCCCAGAATGGGCCCGAGAAGCGCTCCACCAGCAGCCTGGGGGCGGGGAGTGTCCCGGCACCCACATTAGTCAGGACCACTGACCACCCCACACTCACTCACATGGAGACACTTGGGAAGAACTGCTCACCCTTGGCCGTGGCCAGCGGCCACCCCCAGACAAGCCCCATTCTCCCCACCGTGGGGGGGCCCCATGTCTCACCTCCTAGGCAGGCTGACAAAGAAGGCAAAGGCCACCGTGAGAAGGAAGTTGAAGATGCTCAGCTTGTACAGCTCTTCCCCGACCGCGTTCTCCCAGCACTGGAGCAGAGGGGGGACCGGTCACCCCCGGTCCCCAGCCGCCCCTTACCCACCCACTGGGGGCCTCTGTGGTGTAGGAGCCTGGCCTGGACCTGATATGATTGCTAAGTTAGAACCCGGGCCTCCAGGGTGAGATCTGAGCAGGGAAACCCCACAGCGAGCGCATCGTGTGCTGTGAACGGCGCCCCCTGGAGGTGGGCTGCTCTCGTGCAAAGGTGAGACTGGAGAGGGACCGGAGGGACAGGCTTTGATGGAGCCACCAGCCACCTGGTAATCACAGGCGTTGTAGCCGTAGGACACACAGCTGGTCTTGTTTCTGCCAAGGCACAGCACGGTCTGGCCCAGAGAGAAGGAGAACATTCCCAGGCTGGCCAGCTTCAGCACGACGCACCTGGGGGGCGGGACGGTGTCAGGGGGAGCGGCTCAAGTGCGTGGGCGCGTTCCACCCAGGTTACATGTGTGGCCAGCTCTTTTTGAGATCATGTCTCTTCTGGGTCCAGCCCCCTCTAAATCCAGAGCCCAGCCTCCTTCCAACCTGCTCTGTCCGTGGCAGTCTTTCCCAAAGTGTGTTCCCCAGATGATTCACGAGAGAAGGGTTCTGTTTTTTAAATCAGTTTGGCAAACACTGTGGAGTCCAGCTACCCTCCCCCCTCCCCGCTCAGTTTGGAGTTTTGCAGGCACATATGGGCCTTTCATATTCTTATGGCAGGGGAGATCTTTCTTCTCCTGCCTGCTAACGCCCTCGCCCACTTACACCATCTCATGCATCACACCCACGAGCATCACCACTAAATACCACAGTGCTGGACCACACAGTAGGATGGCTTACCCCCAAACCATCACATGCCCATTATATCTAAGTGTGGACTTTCAGTGATGACAGGCGACAGAAGTCTGCCTGGGAACTGTGGGTCTTCTGTTGAGGGAGCCTGGGAGGCAAAGTGGAGGGGGGGGTGATTTTTTTTAAATCTTTCATCCTTTGGAGCATTTTGAACTTTTTACCATGTGCATGTGTTACTACCTGCTCCCAAAATAAAGCTTCAAACCACAGTCAACCTTGCAGGAAAGCTGAATGGGCCCCAACAGCTTCTGCACTAGGGAAGCAGAAGGGAAAGCAGACAGAGCCAAGTGGGGGGGGGGTGCGTGGCAGACAGAAAAGCAGAGCTGGGGCTCACGGGGGCGGGGGAGCTCAGGGAGGGGCTTCAGGTCCAAGGCAGGATCCTGGTCCTGAGAGGGGCAGAGCAGAGCATGGGGCTGGAGGAGGCTTGTACGTGAACACACATCCAGCAGGCATAGTGAGCTTGCCTTTGGCTGAGGCACTTGACCCCTAAGAGCCTCAGTTTCCTCATCTGTCAAATGGGGCTGAGGATGGTCCCCACTTCACAGGTCACGTGAAGATTGTCAAGGGCTGTAAACCCTTGGGGCCTATGGGAGCTGGGTGCCTCCCATACTCCTGGTTTCCCTGTGTGCGGAGCTGGCTCCCAACCCCCTCTGGCTGTTTTGTCACTGGCCCCTCTGAATGACTGGTGCGTGGTGCGAGCTGCTGGCTGGCTTTGGATGGAAGGTACTGGAAAACCTTAGATGGAGGCTCCTGAGATGGTGTTTTCTGGAAGTCCCTGCATGCCCTCCCTTGCTTGGGTGCCCTGGTACCTGGTGGTGGCCCAGATGGACAGCAGGACAGAGCACCTTCTGTACCTGACCATCCACACGCTGTCCCACCCCTCACCCCCAGTGGTGGCACTCACCAGATGAGGGCGAGGTTGACCTCCGTGTTGGGAGGGTAGTTCTCCAGCTGGATGAGGAAAACAAAGAGCAGGGGCCCCAGAAAGTTGACCAGGGCGATGACCCCAGGGGGCAGGTACTGGAGCAGCACAAACAGGGACTCCTGTAGGGTAAAAGCAGGTAAGGGGGCACCCAGGGGCTGGAGGGCCCCCAGCAGCACCCCCATGCCCTATAGCCCCCTCAAGTGTCCCCCTGGTGGAGGCCTGGCATCAGGAAGCCCACGGACTATTCCAGTCGCAGCATGGCGGTTGGGGGATATCACAGGTAGAGGCGGTCTGGCCTGTCGTGACCTTAGGCAAATTGTGTCAACTTCTCTGAGCCTCAGCTTGCTCATCTGCCAAGTGGGACCATCCTGTCTCCTGCCAAAGTTCTGGCCAGGATTAAATGAATGCATGTCCGTGGCCTGGCACCTCTTTGTTGTCCTGCGAGTACTTGGTGGCCCAGAAGATGGCGCTGATGGCTCCAACCACCAGGAGCCCGATGAGGACATTGACCCGCAGGTAGGTGAGCAGGCGGCAGGCCCTCTGGGTCCGGGTCTCCTGCTGCAGCAGGAGGAGCCGACGCCTTTCCTCCAGCTCCACCTGTCACGGGGGTGGGGACACAGTCGGTCAGGGCCGGCCCTGGGGGGCAGGGTGCTGCGTGGAGGAGAGGGAGGGGGCGGTCAGGTCCAGGTCAGTGTTCTTGGGGAGACAGGCTGCCCGGATCCAGGCAAGGCTGGTGTGACCCTGAGGCAGGTGCGCACACACTCCCAAACCACACCCACTCATGCGCAAAGTCACATACGCTTGTCCACGCATCCACGTGCACACACGGGACCCTCGCACACACCTTGAACTCGTTGCTGATCTCATGCTTCTTGATGGTGGCTGCTTCCTGTCCCCGGATACAGAAGTCCCAGGAGGAGAACACTTTGACACTCATGGGCGACTTGTAGTCTTGGCCCAGAAACAGCCTCTGTGGCAGCCCCTTCACCATCCTGGAGGGAGCAGGAGGTCAGGGCCAATGGGGGAGGGGCCTCCGCCTTGGCTCCGGTCTGGGGTGGGAAGCCCCTGACGCCCCGGGTGCAGGCTTGGGTCGGGGGTAGGGGTACAGGGGCGGTGTCCCTGAGCCTTGCAGCTGGTGACACACCGTCCGGGCCCTGAAACCACCGATTAGCCTGCCTGAACAGAGGCCAGGGCCCTCCTGCTACTTTGGGGGTGCCACGCCAAGGGAGGGGTGATCAGGCACTCCGCTCTCACCGCCGCAGAATCCCAGAGAAGCAGAGCAGCAGGCAGGCCAGGGGGCTCAGGAGGTAGGCCAGGCGGATGCTGTACGACGAGCTGCTCTCGGGCCCTGCCCGGTAGGCGCCATAGAAGAGGTAGGTGTTGGTGAAGGCCTGGGGGTGTGGACGATGACAGCGGGGTCACGCGGGCTGTGTGCTAAGTGCCTCCCGTGTCTTCACTCTCTAACTCTCACAGAATCCTCCTCAGGGAGGGAGGGAGAGCGTCCCCATGTCACAGTCACAGAGCAGTTAGCAACTTGCCCAAGGCCACAGAGCTTTGAGGAAGAGACAGGACTGGAACACAGGAGTCTGCACGGCAACCACTCAGTGGCTTCCAGAGATGAGGGTGAGGTGGTGATTATCCCACAGGCCCCGACACTTTTCCCCTCTGTCCTTTGCACCCCCACCCCAGCTGGGTCCTGAGGGCCATGCACAGATGACCATGGCCCTGGGCTGTGCATACTGGCCTCAGCCTCTCTCTGACTCCATCACTGCCCTCTCCAGCCCGTTTATGTAAAACTGTTCCCCTAGAAGCCAAAATGTCTTTGGAGGGTTGGGGGTCCTCTTAGACTGCGGTCCCCTGGGGCCGGTTCTCCAGGTCCTCCAGCCCTCCTGGTGCATAGCCAAGCCAGAGCCCACTTACCCTGCCGGTTAAAACATTCCAAAGTCGATTGTGGAATCTGGGAACACCAGTCTGGGGCTGGAGGCTACCAGGGCACTGAAGGGCTGTCGGGAGGGAGAGGGGCCCAGTAGGGAAGGGACCCCAAGGCATAGGTGAGGCCCTGTCCCTATCTACTCCATAGCAACGCCCCCCACCCCGGCCCTGCATCCTGGGGAGGCCTGAGCAGGGCCCTGAAGAGGTGTCAGGCATGCACAAGGCACGGTCAGAGAGAGTCCCCGGGCTGGACCCAAGCAGGACGACGCCCAGGATTGGGACACAGAGGGTCAGGGCTGTCCCAACACTCTGAGCCCTGGATCAGCCCCTCAGGGTCCTCAGGGTGCAAGTGGGCGCTCCAGGACTTTATTCCCTCGGTCGGCGGGGCACTCACTGAAGTTAAGGGAGGGGCCTGTGTCGGGGGGGCGGAGCCAGACCAGGGGCAGCAGGACGAAGCCGGCAGTGAGAAGCAGGGTCAGAAGGTTGAGCAACAGCAGGAAGCGAAGGAAGGTGAAGTAGGACTGGATTCCGGTGCCAAAGAGGCCTATGAGGAGAGCAGCAGGTCCTTCAGAGCCGCACCAGGCCGGGGCGCAGCTGAGAATCCGAGGGCGACCAACCCAGCAGGGTGGGGGTGACCAGGCCTGCCTGGACCTCAGATCAACGGCCGAGTCGGGGAGGCTCCCCCAGCAGTACCTCTAAGAGCCACCAGGGGGTGCTGTCATCTGCCGAGTTTTGCGCCCCGGCTCCCGGCCGAAGGGGGGCGTGAAAGGATGGGGGGCGTTGTTTGGTGGTGGGGGGGTTGTTTGGTGGGGGCGGAAGGGACAATGGCAAGCGGGATGGTGGCCTCGGGTTTCTAAACCGGACCCTGAGACTCCAGAGAGGGGAGGGGGGAGGTGGGAGGTGGGGGTGCGGGTCCTACCCCCGATCTCGTAGAGAGCCCCTTCCCAGAGCCCAAAGCCCCGGGCCAGCCGCTGCGCCGCCTCCCCTAGGCGCCGTGCTGCAGTCTGCCGCCTGCTCCGCCATCGCTGCCAGCAAGAGGTCTTCACCCCCTCGGGCTCCCGCAGCTGCCTGGGATGGGGTGGTGACGCGGGCGGCCTTGAGTCACCCACTGTGCCCACCGAGCCAGGCAGAGCAATGCCAAGGGCCAGAGGAGCCTTCCCACTGCGGGTGACTTCCACCCCCATCCAACAGGTGCATCCTGTGGCTGCTCCACCCACCGCCACCATCTGGCCCCCACCGTGTCCCACCCTGGGGAACCCACCGGATGAGGCGCTTGTCCACCATGGCATAGGGCAACTCCTGCACCAGTGCCTGGGAGGACCGCAGCCGCTCCATCTCCTGCTCCCATAGCTCCTCGACCCCTGGCTCAGGTTCTGGCTCCACGAGGGCCTGGCTGGACTGCACTGACCACTGCCTCAGCATCTCTGCGGTGGGGTTGTGGTTGGGGGCGCTGGGCTACAATCCCCCACCTCCTAGAAGGGGCGTGGGGTGCCTGCTGGGTGAGCTTCAGTCTCTTGGCCCTGGCACAGCCAGAGATGAAGAGAGAATTCAGCTGGAGCAGATCTGGACTGGGTCCCCGTCCACATCTCAAAGCAACACACTGCCAGAGGCCTCAGTTTCCCTGTTTGTCAATGGGGAGAAAGGTCCAAAGGGCATGGAAAGATGGGACTGTCCCAGACAAAGACAAAGCCAGGTGTGGCCACAGATAAGGGCGATGGGGTCCAAAGCCTGCTGCACCCCAGTCACACCTGCTGCGTGGCCACAGGCCTTCGGGGTCACCCTTCGGCAAGACAATTCCGGCTCTTCTCCCCGTGCTACTTCTCCCAGTGGGAACAGGCCCCTGTCCCAAACCCTGACAGTTCCTAGAATCCATATCCTGCGGGATTTGGATGTGCTGGGACCCCCTTGCGCCCGCTACCTGGGGTCCAGCCCCCAGGACTGGGTCTGCCCCGCCCCCCGGGGAACGGCAGATGAGGAGGCGTGGCTACAGCCCCCAGATTTGGGGAGGGCACCCTAGCGCGGGGGCCATAACCCCCATCCCTCAGCAGCCCCACCCCCTCGGTTCTCTCTTTCACCGCCTCTTGCTCTGCCTCCTCCCCCCACTCTGCACCCAGCTCACCTGGGGACGAGGGACCAAGTCCCCCGAGGAGGAGGCCCCTCGTTGGACCGGCTCCCGCCACGCCGGGCAGGACTGTGTGAGGGAGCCGGGGGGAGGGGTCACGTGACAGGAACCCCAGCTCTCCCGCCATCTCCTCCCCGCTGCACTTCTCGCCCCCACCTCGACAGTTTCCTTCGCTTTCACTGGGGCCGCCACTTCCTGCGGCGCTCGGGGCAGGCAGGCAGGTGGGGCCCGCGGGGTCGGGGTCGGCCAGGGGGTGGGAGGTGGGGGGGTGTCCCCCCCGTCCCTCCCCGCCGCTCCTGCGTGCTCGCCTCGACCGGTCCCTTTACGCCTGGGGAGCCCGAGCTGGGGCCTGGACGCTTATCTGCCGGTGGCAGGTTGTCCTCGGGGGAGAGCGAGATAGTGACAGAATGGGTGGGCCCCATCACTTCGGGCTGCTCAGTTTCCAGAAGCCCTTGGCATTAATCCTCAACCTCCCGCCTGGGTCACCGGCATTTCAGGGACTTAGAGCCTGGCCTGTAGTAAGGGCTCAGGAAGCCGTGCCATTCGCTCCTGCTAGGCAAGATGTTTCAGAGCTGTCTTGGCCGTTTCTCTCTCCTGGGATCCCCTTTCCTCTTTGCTCCCTCTCCATCTCCTTCAGGGCCCACTCCATCCAGCTGAGTTCTGGTAGTTTCTCTGCATCCCTGCCTGGATCCCCTCATTTTCCAAGCCCCTCCTCTATGCCAGGCTCCAACTGGGTGCTGGTGCCCAACACACAGTGGGCTCAGAGAGTGGGGGCAGGGGAACAGACCAGCAAAAGAACATGTCAACAGGAAGTGGCAAGGGCTCCAACAAGGTTCAATCCAGGAAGGCTTCCCACAGGAGGTGATCTGCAAGTTGGGCCAGGGTCATGCGAGTACCATGCGGCTGGAGCATGGGTGTGCAGGGAGGGGGGTCAGTGTGGGGAGAGGCAAGGGCTGGGCAGGCCCCGTCTTCATGCGGCGGTGCCTTATACCAAGATCCAGCCCGAAGTAACCCATCTGAGGACCCCACTGACAGCTGCAAAAAAAAGCCGCAGCGCTGACCCCTCCAACTTTGTCCAACTTCAGGTCTGCAGACCCCTTTACCACTTGCATTACATCTTTTCATTCGGGAATCCTGGCTTTGCCCACCTGTTCTCCCCTCCAGGAGGGCCCACTCCTTCCTTTCTGCCCTCCACCCTGCCTGCCTCTCAAGGCTTCCCCCCACCTGGACGCTCCCCCCCCCCACACAGTGTCCAAATCCCACCCATTCTCTCTCCAATCCCTGGGAGCCTCCCCTCTGACCTGCCAGGATTTCTCAAAGTCAGGTTTCTCGGTGGAGCTCCGGGGTGGACCAGACTCACGCCCTGGCAGAGGACACCCCAAGGGGCTGATGAACGTCACCACCTGTTTGCTCATCTGTGAAGCAGGGAGTAGGTGTCCACCTCCCTGGCTTATGGGAATAACTAAGAAAACAGCGGAGGGGACAGTCACAGTGTCAGGCTTTCCTGGGCCTTGCCCCCTCCTTCCCACCTAGCACACAGGAAGTGCGCCAGAACTGTTGTCTGACTAGTGACAGAAACCACGCCCTGACCAGAGGGGGTGATAACGTGGGTCCTGAGCCTGCTTGGGGGAAGTCGTTTGTCAGCAGGGGGTTGTGTGGAGGAAAGGGTTACCCAATCCACTGTCGCAAGGCGCTGTATCAGTGGGGCTTCAGAGCAGCGTGTTATTTTGATAATTGCCCTGGGAAATGGGCGGGTGGGGAATTATTGTCCCCGTTTGAAACTTGGGGAAACTGAGTCCCACTGACACACTGGACTCAGACTGAGACTGGAGTAGACCCAGACGCTCGGCCGCCGGCACCCGGCTCGGACGGCGGGGTGAGGTGGAGACGGGGTCGGAAGTCGGCAGGGAGAGGGCACGGTCTCCCGAGGGCGCGGGGCGCGCCGGGTCACGTGACGCCGGAGGCCCGCCACCACGTGGGCGGGGGCTGGGCGGCGCAGCTCCCTCGGGCACCGTCAGTCCCGCGACGGTCCCAGGTCGCCCCCTGGCCCCCCCCCCAGGCACTCGCTTCCCCTGACCCCGCGTCCCTGCCCCCAGGTGGTGGAGCCCGGACCGCGGTTCCGGGGACAGGTGAGCGGCTGGCGGGCGCGCAGGGCCCCTCCTCCCCCGCGCCTCCCAGGTAAGCGGCGGGGATCGGGGTGCGGGTCCCGGCGGAGCCGCGGGCCCGGGCTTGGGGGTGGCGCCCGGGTCCCCCCGGCCCAGCCGCTTCCCCTGCGGCGGCCGCCGCCCCCGCTCCCCATTCCCTGGGGCCCCCGGGGCCACGGGGCGGGGAGTTCCTGCGCCGAAGGCCTGACGCCTCCCGGCCGGCCGCCCCAGCGGAGAGGGCAGCGGTGACGCCCCGGGGACCGGCCGGGTCGCGCGGGCCGGTACCACTGGCCCGGGGCGGGGGAGCGGGAGGCTGGCGGGGAGAGGGGCCGAGGGGCGCCCGGACGTGCCGCTGCCCCTGGCCCCCGCGGCTGGGCTGCGGCCCTTCCCGGGCAGCTGCGGCTCCCAGAGGACTCGCTGCCGGCCGGGGTGGGGTTCCTGGAGACGCGCCCCACCCTGCCCCTCCCCACCTGGCTCAGGGCTCAGGAATGGTGTGCCCCGGAAACTCTGCCGGACCTGCCCCGGCCTGGGGTCGGCTGTCCGGGCGCTGGCTGTCAGCTGGGCAGAAATCGTAGGCAGTGCTTGGGTGAGCGCAGGTGAGCCCCTACCCCTGGGCAGGCTGCCAGATTCCAAGCCTCTGAACACTTCCCACCTCCCCACTTACCTCCCCCCGCCCCCCAAAGGGGTGTATGGGAGAGGCTTGAGGGTCTGTGGAGGAAGGGATTCTAGCTCTAGGGGCAGGATTGGGGGGCACATCACCAGCTTCACCTCCAGCTGTTTTCCCGATTCAGCCCACCCATTATCCCTCTGCTGCCCCCCCGCCCCGCCCCTGCTGGAGGGAGGGGAAGGGGCTTGGATGGTGTGGGGCCTGGGTTCAGAGACTGGACATCCTGCATGCCCCTAAGCGAGGACACTGGGCATCCTGGCCTTGCCCGAGGAGGCCCCCTTGAACCCAGCCAGCTTTTCTGAGTGCTGAGTTCCCCCCGGCGGGACAACGGGGTGGAGGAAGACCGAGGACCGGGCAGACGCAGGGCTGGGCCCCGGGCCACTCCCACAGGGTGAAGAGCCCAGACAAGGCCGCCCTGGTTCCAGTTGTCCCAGGCGTTGGCAGAGCCCTCTGCCTGGACAAAGGCTGGACAAAGGCGGCCTGTTGAACGCCCAGCCTCCCTTCCCCCAGCCAGCTGCCCTGGCCCGCCCCTGGGGTGATGGAATGTAGGAGAGTTGGTCTCCTGAGAACTGGTGACCTTGCAGCGCCCCAGCCCAGCCCAGTGTGGAGGGCAGTGATCCCTGTTTGGGGAGGTGAGGGCCGGCAGCACTGGGTGGGGGTCGGGCTGGAGGGGACCCCCACCCCCAGTTGGGGGGGCTAGCCGTGGGAGGGGCTTCCTGTGAGAGGAAGTGCTCTGGGGTTACAGGGCAGGCACAGGAAGGTCTGGGAGCTGCCCTGAACTTTTTCACCGGGAGGGCGGTGGATACCTGGGGCTGTGCCCACAGACACCCACCCCCTTCCCCCTTCCCAGGGACTGGCGCCATAGAGGAAACTGATGGGGACTGCTCAGAACCCCCCTCTTCCTTCCGCTCTTCCTCAAGCAGTGGAAGGGACTCCCCCTCGGTCCATTCTGGCATGAGGCTTATTTGGGGTCACTAACCTGACCAGGTGTTTGACAGTGGATGGGGGCAGGCAGGGGCTTAGGTGGCCTAGGCTGTGGGCACCTCCCACGGTCCCCAGGGAGTGGGTAGTTTGGCGGGGCACCAGGCACTGAGGGCCAACCTTGGTGCACCACTCCCTGTCTCATCAGATGGGCAGAGGGAGGCTTTGGAGGCTGCGCCCAGGCTCTGAGCTGCTCTAGGTTTGCCGACCGGCTGGGCGTGAGTCACAGACATGGCCCAGCCGCTGAACTTTGTCCTCAATGTTGCCGAGACCCCAGAGGACCACGGGTAAGTGTGCTGGGGCTGGGGGGGCCGGAGGGCAGAGACGTTCCCCCCCTCTCCCTGGGAGAGGCCACCTGGACCAGGGCCTATGGAAGGGGTCGCTGCTGGGGCAGGGCTGGGTTAGCCGAATCCTGAGCTCCCACCCCCCTCTCATCCCAGCAGCCAGGAGCCCAGCCCCTATGATGAGAGTGAAGTCCATGACTCCTTCCACCAGCTCATCCAGGAGCAGAGCCAGTGGGTGGCTGAGGAGGGGCTGGAGCTGCAGCAGAGGGAGCCAGGGGCTGGAGGCCCGGAGACCTCAGGTGAGCCCTCCTGGCACAGGGTCCCGGTGCCCCGGATGCTGTGGGCAGGGCACTGAGCCTTCCCTGCCCACTGCAGGCCTGGGGTGGGGATTGGGTGGGGGAGATCTCTGGCCAGCCGTGTCTCCAGGACGCCTGGACGAGTCTTTCTGCTTCGTAGGCAGTGGCCAGCAGGCCCTGCCGGGGCCCGAGGATGCCCTTGTGCACAGCACAGCCACGCTCCGCATCTTGGCCAGCATGCCCAGTCGCACTATTGGTGAGTGAGCTCCTCTAGCCTCACCTGGGCGGCGGGGGTTTCAGACGGGGGTCTGTGCAGCACGGGGCCGGGCCCTTCGCCCCGCAGCCTCCCGTCCGCTGTCCGGAGGCCCAGCACAGCCCCAGGCAGCCTCGCTGGGTTCCAAAAACGACTCCAGAGTCACAGGGATAAAAATAGGCTCTTGGGAACCCAGTGGTGCCTGAGGTCTCTTGTAAAGGGATTCCGTGGGCCCTGGGAGGGGCGGGCACAGGCCGGCGCTGCCCCTGACCGCCCCCTCCCCCCCCAGGCCGTAGCCGCGGTGCTGTCATCTGCCAGTACTACAACCGCTCCGTGCGGCTGCGACGCAGGGTCAGCCGGCCCGAGCTCAAGGGCGTGGGGCGCTCGGCCCGGCCCAGCCTCCGCCTCTACGACCTGGAGCTGGACCCCGCGGCCCTGCAGGAGGAGGGTGAGCCAGTGGGCCCCGCGGCCTCCTCGGTGGGGAGGAGCTCAGGCCGGCCAGACGGGGGGGGGTGGTGGTGCGGGGGGGACAGAGCAGTGGGGGCCGGCTGGGCTGTGAAGGGTTTGGCCCATGTCAGGCAGCGCCCCTGAAACGTCCCGTGCTGAGCACTCGTGTTGCACACGCTGGTCCCGGCTTCGGGCTGGGATGGTGGTGAGCGGACCAGGTCCAGCTCTCCTGCAGCTTGTTTTCTGCCCAGTGAAACAGATGGAAACAAACCAAACGGAAGAGCACATTCAGGCTCAGGCAAGGGAGACTGAGGAAAGGCACGCGGCAGGACAGGGATCCAGGGAGGCTTCCTGGAGGAAGTGACACCAGAACAGAGGGGCATGTGCAAAGGCCCTGAGGTGGGAGGTGGGTGTGGAGGTGCTAGAGGGCAAGGGACAGGGTTCACAGCAGGGCCAGTGTCACAGGTGGTCTTCAACCAGGTAACCTGTGGTGTTCCGGTGCCTGGAGCTCAGGCACTGTGCGGGGGTCCTTTCTGTGTCCTCCCCAGTTTAGTGGAGGCCCTGTGATAGGGGATGGACAGGGCAGGGGGGAGCGGGCTCTGGGCAACTTGCCAGCTTCACTTTGCAGGTCTGGCCAGGTGTCCCCTTGTCTGTCACTTGGGGTTGAAGTGGTGCCCCCTACCAGGCTGGTAGCGAAGGTGGGAGAGAGAGAGAGGGGTGGGTCTACAGGCCCCCCCCATCACCCCACAAGAGCATAGTGGGAAGTGCTAGGGGATGGGGTTGGGACCTCATCACTGCTGAGCAGGGGGGCAGGTGAGGCTCAGGTGCACTGGGGGTCAGAGCAAGATGCTTGTGGGGACCCGGGAGGAGAGTTAGGGTGCAGGAGGAGGGGCACCGGGCTCATAGGCTGAGGCGGGGAGTGAAGACAACTAGTAGGGCAAGACCGGCGGGCATGGCGGGGTCTGGCTTGGATGGTACGGGCAGAGAGCAGCCGTCCGGGCCTGGGAGGGTGGGCAGAGGTCTGCGTTGGGGTGGCCGGCAGGGGCAGACAGGTTTGTCCAGGGTCATGGGCACAGGTGCAGGAGTGAGGGAGGGAGGGAGGGAGGGGTGTGGCAGGGAACTGACAGGGCCCCATCCTTCTGTAGAGAAACGCTTCCTCCTGGTGAAGGAGCTGCAGGGCCTGCCGGTGGCCCAGCGGGACCATATGCTCCGGGGAATGCCCTTGGGCCTGGCCGAGAAACGCTGCCTGCGGTCAGTGCCCGTCGGCCTCTGGCCGTCTCGAGACCCACTTCCTTGGGGCTGGGCGGTCGGTGAGGAGGGCCCTGAGCATGCCGCAGGTGGCTCCCAGGGGGGAGTTGGGTACGTCCCTGGTCCCACCCTGATGCGGCCTGTGCCCCCAGAGAGGAGAGCCAGACCCCGACGGGGAAGCAGAGGGGCCGGCAGGGCCCGCGTGGGCTGTTCCCCTGCTGTGGCCGGCTCCGAGACGCCTGCGTGCTGGTAGGAGCCTCCTGTCTGGGATGCGCCCAGGGCGGCCGGGCGGGGGTGGGGTGGCCCCCCCTTTCTTCTGTGGCTGTCCTGTGTGTGGGGTCTCGCAGACTTCAGACCGGCCCTCCCCTCCGCAGTGCCCTCCACTGCCCCTGCACCTCCAAGCTCGGGCCCCCCCCCCCCCCCCCCCCCCCGCCCCTACGTGAGCTCAGGGCGGGTCCCTTCCCTTCCTGCCTCTGTGCCCACAGGCCCTGCACAGCCTGGGGCTCGGGCTGCTCGCGGGTCTGCACGCCCTGAGGCCGTGGCGCTACGCCCTGAAGCAGATCGGAGGCCAGTTCGGCTCCAGCGTGCTCTCCTACTTCCTCTTCCTCAAGACCCTGCTGGCCTTCAATGCCCTCCTGCTGCTGCCGCTGCTGGCCTTCATCGTGGGCGTGCAGGCGGCCTTCCCGCCGCCAGCCCCCCCGGGCTCTGCACCCAGCTTCACGGGCCTGGAGCTGCTCACCGGCGGGGTGAGGGCTCGCTCAGGGCGAGGGAGCCGTGGGGGGGGGGGCGGGGGCATCTGCAGGCGGGGGCCCTGCCTTCTGCCCCACTTGGCATGGCTTCCCCCAGGGAACCCCCGCCCCTGCCTGTGCCGGGACTCCCCGGGGCGGGGGGCTACAGCCAGCCTGTTCTTGATAGCCGTCCTGCCCGGACTCCAGTGGGGCCGGGGAGCCCCGGGACGGCTGTGGCCCTTTGTCTACCTCTGTGCTTCCCTCTCTGCCCCTGCCCTGCCTTTCTCCTCGCCCTGCCTCCGTGGGTGCCCTCCCTCTGCCTCGTGAAGCCTGAGGCTGGGTCAGGGATGGGAAGGGGGAGAGTCCCTGACTCCACGGGGCCTCCCCCCTGCAGGGCCGCTTCACGCACACGGTCATGTACTACGGCTACTACAGTAACAGCACACTGAACCAGCCGTGTGCGCCGCCCCTGGCTGGTGGTCAGTGTAGCCGCGAGGCCGCCGGCCTGCCCTACAGCATGCCCTTGGCCTACCTCTTCACTGTGGGCCTAGCCTTCTTTATCACCTGCATCACCCTCGTGTACAGGTAATGGCCCTCCACCATATGACCTTGGCTCTGAGTACTACTGATCATCTCCTCATCTAGTCATTATGGGTCCTCCTCCTGTCTCTCCCCCCACATTTCCGTCCTTCCATCCATCCATCCATCCACTCTTCCTTCCTTAAATCCTTCCATCCACCCACCCACCCTCCATCCACCCACCCATCCACCCTTCCATCCATCTCTCCATCCCTCCATCCCTCCATCCCTCCATCCTTCCATCTACCCTTCCACCCATCCATCCATCCGTCCATCCATCCATCCACCCTTCCACCCATCCATCCACCCTTCCATCCACCCTTCCATCCATCCATCCATCCATCCGTCCATCCATCCATCCATCCATCTACCCTTCCTTCCATCCATCCATCCACTCTTCTTTACTTCATCCATGCATCTACCCTTCCTTCCTTCCTTCCTTCCTTCCTTCCTTCCTTCCTTCCTTCCACCCACTCAACCATTCATCCCCCTCCCTCCTCCAGACATTGGCTGTGCTCAGTTCAGGGCAGGAGGGTAAATGAGCATGGTGCCTGCCCTCGAGGAACTTGCTGTCTAGGGGAGAAGACAGACCAGTGAGGAGGCTGGGAAGATCCAGAGCCCTAGAGGTGCTTGCCGGGGTGTTCTGGGGCACTGGAGGAGTCAGGCTGGCTTCTGGCTAGAGGAGGTGCTCGTGTCAGACAGGGAGGTTGAATACACGTGGGCAGGGGAGAAACAGAGGAAGGTGTTTTGGCTCTTGGGACAGGCCGTGCAAAAGGCCTGAGGTAAGTTGGCATATTCTGCGTTGATGTCTGTGTGGGAGGCGGCCAGCCACGTCAGTGGGTCACGGAGCCCCGCCCTGCTAGCCGCATTCGGTGGGCACCGAATCAGACAGGGTTGATGTAGGGTGGCCAGCAGCCCGCGGCAGGAGGCCCAGAGCGCAGGGCTGGAGGAAGGGCAGGGGGGTCGGCGGGAGGCCCATCTAGCGCCCGAAGGGCTAATCAGAGTGAGTGGTGGGTTTCGGCTGCGGCGAGCTTCCTGACTGCCTTCTCCCCAGCCTCTGTGCCCCTTGTCACCTCTCTGCCTGGCTCTGCTTCTCCCAGCATGTCCCACTCTTTCGGGGAGAGCTACCGGGTGGGCAGCACCTCGGGGGTTCATGCTGTCACCGTTTTCTGCTCCTGGGACCACAAGGTGACCCAGAGACGGGCCTCCCGCCTCCAGCACGACAACATCCGAACCCATCTGAAGGTGAGCCGCTCGCTCGGGGGCCCGGACTTCATCTCGGCTCCCACAGACCCGGCCCGCGTCCACTTAGGCCCACGTGGCCAGAGCTGTGCGTGGGGCACGGGGGTGGGGTCTTGGCCTGTCGCTCCGAATCCAGGGACAGGAGGTAGCCCTGGGAACCATCCTGGAGTTTTCTTCTGTATGGGTCACCCATTTGGGGCTGCCTCTCGCCCGTTGGCCAGGGTTAGTGTCCAGGGCCCTCGAATGCGCAGGAGCCCTTGTTAATAGAACACTCTGCTCACAGCACGTTTTGCTGTGCGTGCGTGCTCAGGGTGGGTCCTTGCTGTTGGCCTGTCCTCCATCCTGGGGGGCTCAGTATGTCAGTTCGCCCTTAGCCGCAAGCTGGAGAACCCGCGGGCTGACGCTCCGGTGCAAGGGGCTTAGGCTGCTCTTGGGGCCCTCGGCCAGCGGTCCCCGTGGGCAGAGACCCTGGGGCTCCTGCCGGCACGCACCCTGGCTCGACACGGTAGCCCAGGGCAGGGACTGTTAAGCTGTCCGTGCTGCCTGTGAGCACACCGACCTGAGGTTCAGTCCTTTGCCCAAGGCCGGTGGCCAGGCCGGGCCTTGTGGGATGTTCTCTGCCTTCCTGGGGTGCCCCCAGCTTTGACCTGGCTGATGGGCCCTCATTGCCCCCAGGGAGCTCCCATGGCCGGCCAGGTGTCCTTTGCGCCTTAGGGCTTCTGGGCAGCTGGGGGCCCGCCCACCTCCAAGGCAGGGAGGGGAGCTCAGGAGGCAGGGCTGGGGAGGGAGGGAGGCGGGAGGTGGGTGGGAGGTCGGGGCAGGCCTCAGGATGCAGCGTGAGCCCGAGGTGGGAGCAGGGTGACCAACTGGGGGTTGGCGGGGATGGAGGGCAGGGCGCAGCCTTGAGACCCTGCCCCGTGTTCTCTTTTGTGCCTGGGGACGGGGAGGGGCAGGTGGTAGCACTGGGGGTGGGAGGGAGGCGACCCCTGGGTCCCTCCAGGCTCCCCCAGCTGTCCCGTGTGTGTCTCTGCGCGGCTGCGCGGGGTTCGTGATGGGCTCGTTGCCCACAGGAGCTGTTGGCCGAGTGGCAGCGACGGCGGGGCTCCCGGAGCGCGTGCGGGCGGCTGCGGTGGGTGGCCGTGCGGGGGCTCGTGTGGCTGCTGTCCCTGGGGACTACGCTGGGCTGCACCGTGGCCGTCTACGCCTTCTCCGAGCTCATGATCAAGGTGCGGGCAGAGAGAGGGACCTTCCCTGGAGCCCTGGCCACAGGGTCAGACCCCTGCTGAATTTGGATGGGCCCCCCGGTGCTTGCCCCCCTCCCCCCGGCCCCCTCTTTCCCCGGCGGCTCTGGCTCTGGCTCCCCCTGCCTTTTGGATTTCTCTTTCTGACACCCGTGTCCCCACCCCCTTCCTGTGTGGTTTGAAGCAGAGGCCTGGGGTGGGCGTGTCTTGGGGAGGGAGGGAGGTGCTGTGAGGCAGTTTGGCCCCCTCCTTCCACGCCGGGGGGGCCCCTCCTGGCCGCCCCCCCCCCCAACCGGGGCACCTGCCTTGACCGCCGCCGCCCCTCCTCCCGCAGAGCCCGGTGTCCGCCGAGCAGGAGGGGGCGCTGCTGGCCCTGCCCGTGGTGGTCTGCCTCCTCAACCTGGGGGCCCCCTACCTGTTCCGCTGCCTGGCGGCCCTGGAGCGGCACGACTCGCCGGTGCTGGAGGTGTACGTGGCCGTCTGCAGGTGTGTGGCCAGGTGGGGCAGGTGGAGGCTGCCTGGGGCAGGGCCCCTGCCCCCCCGGGTCCCCCCCTCTTTCAGCACTGCCCGCCTCCCTGTCCTCTACAGGAACCTCATCCTCAAGATGGTCATCCTGGGCATTCTTTGCTACCACTGGCTAGGCCGCAGGGTGGGCGCCCTGAAGGACCAGGTGAGGGTGGCCCTGAGGCAGCGGGAGGCCACCGGGGCCCGTCACACGGGGCTGCCCTGCCGCTGGCGGTGGGGGTGGAGGGCCCTCCCGCAGCCTGCCATGTGGCCCGTCTGGCCTGGTCTACGGCGGCTGGGCGGGCCCCTGGGTGGGCTGCTGGGGTGGGCAGGGTGGCGGGGGCACCAGGGGCCCAGGGGCTGAGGCCCGGTCTGTTTCAGTGCTGGGAGAACTTTGTGGGCCAGGAGCTGTATCGGCTCGTGGTGCTGGACTTCATCTTCGTGCTGCTGGACACACTGTTCGGGGAGCTGGTGTGGAGGTGAGGCCCCGGGCCCTGCGCGCGCCCCTTGGG